GGATGAATTCGGACGCTCGTCCGGAATGGTTGTGCATTCTGGAAGGCGTCCCTTATTCTTGCAAAATCCGGACCCCCTGGTTTTTTCCGTCAATTCCAAACATAAAATAAAATAATAATAATGGTTGCAATGCTTATATAGCCCCCTACCTACTGTTTTGAACCTGTCTGGTTGGAAAATGTACAGCTTTTTACTCTGATTTTTTTTCGTAGTCGTTGTTGACTGTTAAGGGCGCCTTTAACAATGCGCCGCGTGGCAGGTTTCATTTGGAAATCAAATCTTCCAAAAACAAATAATTTCGCTTTAGGGTTTGCGAGGCTCTGCAGTGAGATAAGATACCATACCGTTTCCGGTACCTTTACCACTCCTTGAGCCACATCAGCGCACGTGAGTAGTTTCATCATTGGTACAGTTCACAGTGATAATGATTGGCCCCCGATTGTCCAAGTAATCCCACGTGTGGACTGACGCAGCTGCGCAGTTATCACTTAACTGGTGCGTTGGAATCACGTCGAATTTGGGGCTCAAGGCTTGTCCCAAGCACGAGTACATTCGATCAGTATCCGCCTTCAATGTTACTAGGGAATCGAATCCAAATTCGCTTCATTAGGTGACGGCTAAACAGCTGCAAAGGCGCACGAAAATGGGTACCTCGATAACAGAGTTGCTAGGAAGGGAGCAGAAGCTCTTAGAGGAGCGGGAGAAGGAGAGCTGTCAGCTCCGGAATGAGTTCTGTCAGCTCCAGATTAGGGTCTGGCGGCTCCAGAATACAACAATCTGGAATACGTTTCAGAAGGTGCTTATTCAGCTGGTGACAGAACATAAGGTGAGCCAGACAGGATTGAGAAGGTTATGGGGCGAGGCCCTCAAAGTGCGGCAGCTGGTGATCGACGAGGAGGTAGCTTTGATGCAATTCATGATCGACATGCGGCAGCTCGCAAGGAACCTGAAACGGGGACAGCGGGTGGCATGAAAGAAGGAGAGTCGGAGTAAGGGAGCTGACTTTGAGCTGATGTGGAGAGAGCGATACTCAAACGAGTCAAGGAGTAGCTGCAGAAGCCCTTAGTAGACAAGCTTGTAGTGTCAGCTTCGAGTAATCATGTAGGTCTTTGTACGATATTTCGAACCCTGCATGTCGTTTCTTTGGATATAGAAGTCTTACATGTCTTCCAGTGCCTTTCACTTATTACCATTTTCACCCAAAGTGTCGCCCCTGTAACGTAACGGGGTAACAAAATGGAGAAGTAGCAATAATACCAGAGTTAACTGGCTTTCCCCTGGCCGGGTTTTCATACTGGCTCGCTTCATTGAAGTGACACTAGTCACCACGTTGGGCCGCGTTCGATAAGCTGCCACGCGATCTTAGCTAGTCACATAGACATGCACTCTGTCTGCACCGTCAATCACCTTACGATTGACCCTGACCATCATTAGTCAATGATTTCTATATCCGCCAGCTCGGAAGTGCGATCGAGCCTGGCACTTCCCGATCAAACATACCCGGCGTCCGGCCGGCGGCCTGGAAAGGCATGCATGAATACAATTTAGAAGTGATACCGATCCCTGTCAAACTTTGTACGATCCAGTGGCATATCGGGCCCACATCTCTATCTCTAGCTCGCGCATCATGGCAGCGTCCGACTGAGCAACGCGGCCGCCCTGCCCAATTAGCGGCGCGGCATGCCTATCTGGCAAGGCAAGTGTGCATTGAACATGTCGGATTATCTAACAAATGTGAGAAAGCGATACGCTGACTTGCAAGCGGCTATTTCAAAACTTCAGTGCAGCATAACGTACGCCTTTCCGCCGCTGTCCGGTGATTCGGATTGAGGTTGATACCATAAAGGTTCAATGCCTAGTCCATTTTTGTGGAGAATCTGAACGCCTGCCATCTGTAGCATGGTCCACAAACGTAAGACTGCGAAGAATGTTACCCGAGAAGAAAGGACATCGTCGTAACGTTGCAAGCTACCCCTCGTATTGACCGAGACTGACGCTGACCCACCACCCTTCTCCTTCCGGATCGCTTATGAGCATGTATTTCAGTAGTTGCTGAAATCGCCAAGGCTTCGGCGACATTGCCCCGTGCGCAATAAAGTCTCCGTACTTGTACCAGTCGAGACGAGAGTTCATCCGCCTGCACAACAGTAGAGTGCGAATGTCAACACCAAGTTCTCAATGACCCGGAGCATATGAAACGCGATTCACAGTGGGCGTAGCAAGCGCGCTTGCAATGTCGGTCGGACGGCTTTTAACTTTGCAGTACAACACGGCTGGTGCCGCCCCAACCTGTGATAAGTTCAAAGAAAGCCACGCCGAGAATGCCGTCCGTTGAAAGCCTTGCACGCACTTCTTGTTGATACGAGCGTACTGATCGCACGTCCGCGGCAAAGGCGCACAAGACAACGTGACGCAACGAGAAGTGGGCGACGCGTACGGCGCATGACTCTTTGGAAAGGCATTGACAAAGAGACCTTTCGCAGCTGATTGCGAGAAAGGAATGGAACGACGATGGGGCTTACGGCTTTTCATCGCAGATGGGGCTTAGGGCTTTTCATCGCAAGGTACACTAAAGGTGATCTCCGACCAGAGTGGAAGTTTGCAGGTAGTCGAGTATGCCAGAGCTCAGACTTATTTCACCCTCAGTTGAACTTCATTATTCTACGGTTCAGCATCAGGAACGCTCCGAGACCAAGGAATGACAAGCAGCCCATACCTCGACGGTTCAGGCACTCGCAGTTTTGGAAGAGAAAACAACAGGCCCCTCGGTCAGAATAGCGTGTATAAATTTCAAATAAATTTCAATTCGCTTTGATGCGACTCGATAAGAGCAAGCTACTTCCGTGGCTGAGCGCTCACGTAGGAGAGTCGGTTTAGAGAAACGGAACTCGATCCGAAAAGAAAATATTCGAAAGGCCCGAATCTAAAAGAGCGCAAGACAAGCGTGTCCGATTGCAGACAATTAGGCATCTCGCAGTGCCGTCAGAAATCATGATCGCCAAAAAGCTGACGTCATCACCATTTACGGATGACGTCCGTCAGGTCCAACGCCGTTATTAACATTCCGGCTCACCAGTGCGGGATGATTCGCGCGTGCTTATCCCACTCCTCAAAGTGCTCGTCCCGGAAATCCTGGATCGCCTTCCGTTCCCGCCACTCATGATCGACGGCCTGCGGGTAGTCGGTGTAAACGCGCTCCAAAAACGAGAGCGTCCAATCAGAGGCGCGCACGAAATAAACCCCCGCGTTTATCGGCGAATGGTTGTCTGTCATGTCACCATCGTAATTGTTGGTGTATACGAGCTCGGCGTCGGAAGCGCCCGCTTCGTTGAGCATCGTGCCAATGCTCTTTTTCATGTCGACGAAGATTGCGTCAGCGTCCATGTGGAAAACCTGCGGGGCAAAAGATAGTGACGGTCGTGAGTGACTGGATAGCATGTTCGTAAGCAATGGAAGCGGGGAATGGCGTCAGCGTCCTTGTGACATAGATGCGAGGAAAGTGGGGTTATCGGCGAGCGGTAGTCACAAACAAAGGGACCTTGTTTCTCGCTTGGTGCGAAGGATCGAGCGCCTATTGTTGAAATGCACTTGCGTTCAAACTTAGATATAAGCTTGCGCATGCGTGAGAGTGAGAGAGAGCTAGGGGGGAAGGGGGGGGGAAGAGCGAGTGTGTGTTTGAATCTATCAACCTTGTTTCATGTACCCTTGTGCCACCACTCAACTCGTGCTCAGAAATTACTATCAGCGTTCGCGAGGAGAGCATCCGGAAATTGATGGAGGTGATGGTCGTCAGCAAAGTCATCTGAGACTGGGATATATGTGAGCTCAGCGCGCGTTTGAGCTGGGGCTTGTCAACCAACAAGGACAAACTTTAGGTATCCCTCCTGGATCGAGAGCAGATACAACTGAGGAACAGCAAACCGTCAAACATCCGGAGGCTTTTAAGAAAACAAAACAAAAACAAGTGGTCCAAAAGTCGACCCGAAGCCGTTCGAAAGTAGACCGGAAGCCGTCCGAAGTGAAAGCTCAAGCCGTCCGAAAGTAGACCGGAAGCCGCCCGGAACCAAAGCGGAAGCCGTCCGAAAGTAGACTGTTTAGAAAATCGTTGTGACGCCGTTGAACCACGTCATCAACCGTCCAAACCTAGGCAGAGCTGAAGACGAAGCTCACTCTGGTCCAAAGACATAACTTAAACCCATCCGGAAGTCACTGGTGGAGCTGCAAACCCGCCCCCTTACAAGGGTTGGATCGAAGAGGCAAAAAGTAACTTCCTTGAGCTCCGCGTGAGACGATAGCCTCACGTGCAATTAAAGACTGAGACGCTAGCTACACTAACGCATCCGGTTTCAGAAGCAACACAGCCAAAAACCTTCTTTCTGGCACAGCTCCCCTTAAAAGAGCGGGGACAGCTTGATCCTTGGACTAAGCCTCCCAGAAGTACAGGCAGAATCGCTCAAAAGCGTCACACTCATGTTAGCGGACCCAAAATTCAATACCCAGCAAACCAAAACCGCTCCCAGCAAATCAAAGTGGCTCAAACCGACCAACATGTTGAAAGCCCTTCCGGAAAAGCTAGAGCTGTTCGAAGCTCTGTAAAGCGGTGAGACCTTGCACAAATCAGTCTGAAGCTCCACATGACGTTGATCCGAGGCCTTCAAGCGACACGATTCTAGTCCTCAGAGGTCTACGTGCAAACCAGAGAGCTCCGTACTCGATACCGGCGTGCTTTCTGAATTTTCAAAGGTATCAGTGCACGAATCTGGTCGGGGCGACTCGGGAACGCTGCAACGGCTTGTTCTCCACAGGGAACAGCCCAAAGTTTTGCCCCGGCGAAAGTCGTGCACGACTCCATTCTGCAACTTCCGCTTCGCCTGAAGCGCCGGAGCGCTGACGTCAGCTTTGAAGACAACTTTGTTTTCAGCTTCAAACCAGGAAACGTCTGGTCGGAAAGAAGGGCGGACCGCTCAAAAGCCTCACACTTACCCAAACACAAAACAGCAGTTTGGTCATACTCATCCACAGAATGTTGGATTTCTGTGCGAGGTTAAGACACTTAGCCCAGATACTCACAGCGGGGCTGGTTTGAAGAATCTGCATGGTGATCGGAATCTTGCTCCAAGACGCGTGCCGGGTCGGATCCGTCTTCGCTTGGAGTTCGCAGTACTCGTAGCCGTGACGCTTTATGTACAGGATTCTGTTACGCCGCATCTTCTGCACGTACGCCTGCATGAGAAGCAATATCCGACGTCAACATTGATCATTTTCACATTTCCATATAGGAAGAAGAGTGTGATGGTGCCCTTCAATGTGAATTTTGAGATGTTCGAGCTGTCTACATATAAGGGCTGGCTCCAAGTAGTCATATTCGTGCTTCTTCATGTGGATCCAATCAAACCGCATCTTTTGCACGTACGCCTGCATAAGAAGCGACAGCTGACGTTCGCATTCTTTAACTCCAGCTTTTCATCAAAGGAAGCAGGTTGTATTCGTGCCCGCTGACTTCAAAAGGTGCGTTGTCGGGGCTCTGTACTCATGCGAGCTAGCTCGCAGAACCCATAGCCACAACGTTTTTTACGTACAGGACCCTGTTTGGCCGCATTTCTTGCACGTTGACCCTGCTGTCAAGAAGCGAAAGCATGACAATCGCGTTGGGTGAATGCATAGTTTGTTCGCCTTGAAACCCCAACGCTTGGAAATATCAGACCTTATCACCGCGCAGTCTTGCTGGCAGCTTCGAAGCACCACATGAAAGCGCGAAGGACAGGAGCAAATATTGCCCAAAGGCTGGTTTAATGTGTTGTGCACAGTGTGCACAGTGTCATACGTGTTTTAAATTTTGTGCACCGTGCAGTTTGAGGTTTGCACTTTGGGACGGCGCGAAGTGCACGTGCATACGCAGCTGCGAATGAGAGACAAGCTTTGCACTTGTAGTGCAACGAGAGCGTGCCTGTTTGCAGTTTCTCAGAGTTCGACGTCAGCATATCTATACTCTGGGGTATGAGTACTTATGCCTCACGATTTCGCATACTCAGACGAGTACGTACTACCAACTCTTTGAACTCGACTCGATTCGTATTTCCTTTCTGACCAGGACCGAACTTCAGGCTCTGGATGAACGTCAAAAGCTTGGGTCTGCTCGGCCAAAATGAACTCCTTAAGCAGAATAGAAACCTTAAGGGTCAGGTTGTACGACTTTTTATTCCATTGTGAACGGTTGTTTTCTTACCTCTCCCAAGTTGCTCATTTTCCCTCGCTCCTTCATCTCCGACTCGTCGATGTGCGTTTCCAAACCGGGGGTTACCGTCAGCACCGTAACGTTCCCCCCCAACCCGATGCAAAACGAGTCCGGCCTCACAGCCCACGCCTTTTCTTCCGCGGTCAACTCAAACCTATCATTCGTTAACCGCCCTAGGTCTCGCCGCTTTAGCACGCTCTCTGCCTTAAACCCTTGCCTTGATAGGGAATCTGGGTTAAGCTCGGAACCCTGGGTTAGTGGGAAGGCTTGTTGGAGCGCGGCAGTCGCTCTGTGGATCTCGTCCCGAAACAGGGAGTTGACTTCTTCCCGAAATATGGCTCGCACTTCGGAGGGGAACAGCTTCAGATCCGTCCGGAGGTCTTCGAGTGCGGCTTCGACGACCTGTCCAACGGACGTGGCATTCTGCAACAAAGTGAGAGGATAATCAGTGTCGACCAGAATAGCCTTGCATGCTAGGTATGCAAGGGGGAAAAGCTTCGAATCGGTTGGAGTTCTTCAAGGGCAGCTTCTCACGTTGAATGCAACTGTACGCAAAATAAACGTTCTTGAAGCGTAGAGTTTCAAATCGAAGTGGCTCAGGGCCTGGTATGCTTGGAAAACTGGGGGTCAACGGCAGTCCCCTTCGAAGACCCCGAAAGACCGCCTTTGATGGCTTCTCCAACTCGAGTGGCCGTCTGCAAAAACCGATTGAAGGCGATAAATCTAGATTTGCTGAGGTCATTCCATCGCCTGAGACTGAGCAACTTGCACAAGGTTCCCCCCACTTCAGGCTTGATACTGCCCCCATGAGCGAGGAAAGCGCACCGTTTTCAGATCACCTAGAGTAGCTTCTTCCTAAAAAAAAATCTCGAGCGACCTAGTTCGGGCTGAAACACAGAAAGCAAGGAGGGACCATAGGGTGTTCGTTTCGAAACTCATTGAGCATCCCAGGTTTATCATACAGCGCACAACACACTATGATCCGGAACCAAAACTAGGCAGAGGATTCTACCGCAGCCCCATTCGTTGTTGACCACCCTTAACCCCGTCATCGACAATTACCAACCCAGGCTCGACATCCAATGCATAAGAAAAGTCATTGAGAAATGCAGAGTTGCAATAGAAGGAACACCTTCCTGCTGCAAGTCCTCTTCCTTGACCAAGCGTGATGCCCTCCTTGATCCAGATTTACCCTTTCTAACCCAGATATGGGCATAAACTCATTACCCCCCCCAATGGTCAACTTCTTCCTTGACCAACCTTAACTCAATCATTAGCAGTGGGTAACCAAGTTTCAACAAAAGTGCCATTTGGAGGCAGTGTACTCGAGAGTAGGCAGAGGACTTGCTTCTTCCCGGCTCACCCGCCGCTTCCTCGGCCCCCCTAAACCTCCTGATTAGTGCTAAGTAACCAAAACATCGTTTCACCAGCCTGTAACGAAAAGGCTAGCGAAGAGAAGTCATTTAAGTGAAAGTCCTATGAGACTTCCTTCTTCCCCTGCCGCCTCTCCTCTTCCCTGACCACTCTTTAACCTTCTGGTCAACACTGGGTAACCAGAATCATGTCACCAGCATATCAAACGAAGTCAAGTGAAGAAGTCCTCGGAGAAATCTGTGGCAAAGGACTTACTTCTTCTCCCGTCGCACTTCCTCGTTCTTGACCACCCTTAACCTCCTGGTTAATGCTGGGTAACCCCACATTACCCAGCATGAACAGCGTCAGGAAAGCCACCACCCCGCAGACCGCAAGATAGGCTTTCCAGGAAGAGCTCTTCGCCATGGACCAAAGCTGCAGATTCTCTGTTGGCGCTACATCTGGACCTGATAAAGCCTGGTTCAATTCTCAGGGCGCAATGTCTAATCTTGCCCCCAACCACAGCCAACTCACTGGCTATTCGACAGGGGACAGGGACGACCCCTTCTGCGCACTTGAGACATCAAGACAGGCGTTCGAGCTTGCGCCCAGCGGTCCGCTATGCCGGGAGCTCACATGGAGTCCAGCAGGAAACACGCGGGGCGCGCCCCTGAAGACATGGACCTATCGACAGAGGTAAAGCCTGAGGGTGAGAGCGCTCAAAGAGGGATTGTGGCTGGCCGCGACAGGGGACTGTTGAGGGGGTTTCTTGAAGTGCTCGTTGGAGATCACTTACAACTGTGGATCTCATTGACACCAAATTGAACATTGGGTGAGGCCTGGCACCCAAAATAGCCGCAAGGCGTCACACGCACAAAGAAATGTGCCCTATCATTTTGCCAGTCCTACACCCAGCAAGTGTTCGGAAGCTGATATCACCAAAAGAATGGGCAAGCCTAGTAGTTAGCTCTGAAGTTTTTCAACCGTTTCTTGAGCATTGTCCACCTGAGCTCGTGATTTTAGCTTCAAATGTAAGTATCCTCTCTTAAAAGGGGTCAACCCATTCTTTGACCCAACTCCCATGACAAAAAGAGATCAGAGTGTGCACTTTATCTGCACAGAGGCGGCGTTTCTACATCAAGTTCGGCAGCGATTCAGCGCTGCGCGCAACCAGGCTGTTGGGATTCGAACATTGGGAACACAGGTAGGTACCTACACGAAAGCCGTCTGCATTTGCCGTTCCTGGTTGTACAACAAGCTGCATGGACAATGAAATGTTTTGAAGAGTTGAAAGAACACCTTAAACCCTGATTGCCCGGCTCGACGTCACGCGCTTGCGGGCGGCTTTGGCGCGGCCGGCCAAACCGCGGCGGCGGCCGTGGCCGCCTCTCTCTTGGCGGCCGCGCAGCGCGGCTAGAGCTCAGGCTGCTCTAGCTAGCTCTGAGTCTAGGATCCTCGTCGATCAGAAAAGGCACTCAGACGTATTAGACTCAGCTCCTGCCTAACCAATGGCAATGGCGTCTCAAACTGTGTGGACTCTGGTCATGCAGAAACGGTAGGCTACAAGAACGTTGTGCCGCAATCAGGTATCACAGGCAAGCAGGCAGGGGGTCTCCCAGAGGTCTGACGGCGCACAGCTAAGTTGCATATTCAGGGTGAGTTCTATTGAATCCCTTGTGCTCGTTGGTTACATTGGAATAAGTCAGGGCGGCTCATTCAAAGGGGTTTGTTCGCTGATATGACTCTGTTCAACCTGGGAATCTCCAGGATGGGGAACTTTTTGACTACGCCGATGGAGGTTAGAATGGTCTGCTCAAGCCCGTTCAAACAATCATGTAAAGCTGTCAGACAAGTTGATACCCTCAGATCCAATTGTGTGAGAATACAAAAGGTGACTGTCAAAGTCGTGAAGGATTAACTGAGACCTCCTGTTAAGAGGGTTATGAAGCCTTATTGGCATGCAAAAGGATGGAGAAGGGCCAGCTTCTTCCTTCATTATCATGATATTGTTGAGTTTGAAACCAGAGAACCCCAAAAAAGATATCTGTCTGGCAGGTGTTGGCATATATGTGTCCACTTCATGCCCCATTTTACATTTGATGCAGAATTCTTTTGTAAAAACTTACGATTGTGTTTCACACTTTCCAAATCTGTATTCATCTCCTTTCTCCTTGCTGCTTTCCCAATAATATTTGCCAGCAAGACGTGCAAACCTCGTGCATGCATGCATATGATAAGCATAAGCAAGAATTTTCTGAGTTCTTGGTCCGCATTGTTTTAAAAAAGGTGCCATTGAAGTGAGAGTGGTGCAGCCGTTGAGCGACCATTTGCCTTTCTTGGAAAGAAGTTCCTCAGGCCTTTGTTGATGCTTTTCTTTCAGTGTCTATACTGGTGAATGCTATTGATAAACCGGTGATTTTGTTGATTGAACCACTCTTTATATTGTTGATCAATCAATGTATCACACATCAGGCCGCATTAGTTGTTTGTCCTCTGCTTCCTTGTATTTTACATTTTGAATGGGAAGCAGTCACCTTCAACAACATGGTCAGTAATCTCGTCTTCAATTTGGCCCTTTATAGTTGTAGGGTTTACTCTTGGCCTCCGTTATGCCAAGCCACTCTGGGCTTTACACGGTGAACTTTGCATTGTCCTCTTGTTTTGCATTTCAAAAAAGGCGTATCGTGTGAGGCCGTGTCGAAGGTTTGCAGTGTGAGGTTGTTTCTGGCATTGAGGAATGCAGCCTCGTACGCTACTTAGGATGGGGTTTCTGGTGCCTGGTATCCTGTGTGTGGTGCACTATATCTCACTCCAGTGTTTGTATTCAAACAGCTTAGCCACCGAGTTGTCACCGGCAGATCTTTTCCCAATCTCTGACTCGCAAACCATGAACTGACGGCAATCAGAATGCAAGAATCCATCTGAAGCTTCCCTCCTCTCTTCTGCAGATCTTCGCTGCCAGTTTCGAGCCACGCTTAGTCCCCTGCCGTATTAACAAACGGAGGTTTCTTATCAGCCTGTTGTTACCTAAGTGGCCCCTTATTGCGTTTCGCTGGGCCTCTTACCAGCATATCAACGAGCCAATCAGTGAGCCTTTTCCTAAGCAGTCCCGTCAGTAGAGATCTGTTCCATCACAAGCAAGTTCCTGTCTTTGGGTACATTAGCCGCTCATAGACCAACTTGCAGCTCGCCACATACCGCCAGTCCTCAAGCAGGATTACAAGGGAGTTGTTATTATAGTAGATTGAGTATACAGCGGGGGATACAGCGGGTTTAGCGAGCATTCACACCGCATCAAAAAGAGGCGCAATGGACCACTGTGAATGCTTCCCGGGCTTTGGGCCCCCAGACGATAGTCTTCTCCAATGGCAGTATGTCAGGTGAGGAGCAGCCGAACTATGGTCTCTTTAGCCTTTCCCTCAACGGTAGTTCAAATCGTAAATGGTTACTGGTAAATGGAGTCCTTGTTAGCATCGGCTGGTTAGCCATGGCGGCACGTTGAACTTGATGTCAAATGTCTGCCAGCGAGGCTGGTAAATCTGGGTTGTTAACATGACGGAACAGTGGTTAGCACTGGCTGGTTAGCATTTGCGGTATTTCCAACCTAGCTAGTGTCCGCCAGCCAGTTAAGATGTGGTCAGCAACTGAATGGGCAGAGAACAGTGGTGTTTGATGCGACATTCATTCTTCAGAAGAGGCCGTTGTTGGGCTTTGAGGTTGTTGGTGGAGCTTGTCTGCTGATGTATAATCCGGTAGTTTCAACCTGTACTCTATTGACAATGTTTGCCCTGGTAAAACCCAAGAACATCCGCCCCGCGTCATTACTTGCACTAGTTTTGTCGAGCTTGCTTGTCTTTTTGTCACCTCAAGGTTCATGTAAGTAGCCAGAAAGTCAAATTGTCCAATGAAACAACGCAGTGGTGACACCCGTGCATCTGACAACCCTTCAACTCACTTAGGGACGCCCTCAGTTCCAGCAACATCACACGCTTCTCTTCTCTTGAGCAAATGCCTTCATTACGCTGGCATCTACGTTTCCATCCCCCTGGAGCTCGTTCACTTCGTCAAAAAGGCCACCAGATCTGACAAACGCAAAGCAAACCACCTTCCCATGGGAAACCTTAAAATCTTTCTTCATCTTTGCAGCGACGCTTTTATTGCGCTGGCCTACTTCTCCATCCCCCTCGTGCTGGTCTACTTCGTCAAGAAGGCCACCTTTTCCATCCTCTAATTCGTTGATTCCAACCCCGACGCAGACAGTTCAATTGTTTCATCACAGATCTGGATTCATCCTCCCTCTCGTTGCAGCGACGCTTTCATTGCGTTGGCTTACTTCTCCATCCCCCTGGAGCTCGTCTACTTCGTCAAGAAGGCCACCTTTTCCATCCTCTAAATCGTTGATTCCAACCCCGACTCAAACAGTTCATGTTCCTCACAGACCTGATTTTGTCCCCTCTCTCGTTGCAGCGACGCTTTCATTGCGCTGGCGTACTTCTCCATCCCCCTCGAGCTCGTCTATTTCGTCAAGAAGGCCACCTTCTTCCCGTACCGCTGGGTCCTCGTCCAGTTCGGCGCGTTCATCATCCTCTGCGGCCTAACCCATATGATTAACCTCTGGACGTTTGGGGTTCACTCCCGCTCGATCGCGGTCATCATGACGATCGCGAAAGGGTTAACAGCGATAGTTAGCTGCGCAACGGCCGTGATGCTGGTGCACATCATACCGGACTTGCTGTCGGTCAAAGTGAGAGAGATGTTCCTCCGGAACAAGGCGGGGGAGCTGGACCGAGAGCTGGGCATGATGAAGACTGCGGTGAGCATTTTTATCGTTCTTTGTTCCGTCTTAGGGCCTACGCAGAACGTACAGTTGTCCTTTAGTTGCATTTTCTTCGGATCTGCTATGGACTTCATGTCAGGGAGATGTTGCTGCGGAACAAGGCGGGGGAGTTAGATTCAGAGCTGGGCATGATGAAGACTGCGGTGAGGATCTTGCCCTCAATCTGGGGTTCTTTGTTCCGTTTTTAGGGGTTACGCAGAATGTATAGCGGTGATTTTGGTGCACTTTCTTCGGTTCTGCTGTGCACTGAAGTCTGTGCGGAAAAAGGTGGGGGTGCTGGCATGAGTCAAGCAGCGGTGAGTATGTTGTGTTTGGTGCAAAGTTGTGGGGATTGCTATTCCGCTTTGTCCTGTCTGAAGGGTGACCCGCTTATGCTGGTGCATACTATATGCTCTGACAGCAGAATCGATCCTGAAGCGTGCAATAAGTTTACAGGTCGACCAATGGACTCATGATAGTTTAAGTGACGTGATGAGCTGACGTCTCTTACTCCTCTTCCCTGCAGCAAGAACTGGGGCGTTATGATTGCATGCTCAAACCTCATATCTCCTGGAGCTTTTAGACAGGTCTGCAGAAGGTTCCATGCTGACGTCATATTTCGCTTACCCTGCAGCAAGAGACGGGGCGACACGTTCGCATGCTGACGCACGAGATTCGCTCGAGTTTGGACCGACACACGATCCTGCGGACCACCATTGGCGAGCTGGCGCGTACACTGCAGGCAAGACATCTATCTTCGAAACACTTGGTACTTTGACATCCACAAGGTTCTGAAGATTTCCGCTTCTGGGTGGTTTCTCACCTTAAAGGATCGCAGCTCATTAAAGACCTCCAGTTCTAGGCTGCTTCATATGCTGGACATGGGTTAGCTGTTGTTGTTGTCATTCTTAGTGCTAGACCGCTGAAAAGCACAACCAAGTCGGCGATCATTCCGTCCACACTGCATTATGCTTGTTATCATGCTAGAATCTGCTGAACATGCACGACCCTCCCCAGAACCTACAAGTCTCGATGTTCAGCTTCGGTTCGGAACACTATCCCCACCAACCTTCGATTCGTTAAGGGTTAACCTTATCTGCGTCTCTTCTTTCGGGGCTTTGATAAGTTTCTGAAACATTGAAGTGTTACCGTGCAGTTAGAGGAGTGTATGCTGTGGATGCCACAGCGCAGCGGGGCGGACCTCCAGCTCACACACCAGCTCCACCCGCCCTCCTCGCTGGTGCCCATCACGCTCGCGATGAACGACCCGACCGTGCAGGACGTCATGCAGAGCCCCGGGGCGATCGAGATTTCTCCCGTAAGTGTGTTCGATATGATCTTGCAGTCCCTGATTTTAGTTTCTAACACTGCCGGGTGCCAGAAACTGCAACGATGTCTCTTTGTGCACGCGATGAACGACCCGACCTAGAACGTCATGCAGAGCCCCGGAGCATTGAGACCTCTTCTTTAAGCGTTTTCGATATGAGCTTGCATTCCCTGATTTTGGTTTCTTTATTGCCGAAGATCGTGGTGCCAAAAACGTCAACGGTGTCTCTTTGTGCACGCAATAAACGTCCCAACTGTTCAGCACGTCATGCAACCTCGGAGCGATCGAGGATTCTCCCGCAGGCGCCTGCGGATCCTGAGAGTTTTTCTAGGGCGTGTTGGTTTCTGTCTGGTGCAGCAGTTGCTGGTGCTCAAGACGCTTGCAATGAATGATTTGAATATTCAGGAATTAATGCAAAGGCTCGGGGCAAATGAGTGTTTGCACTTCAGTCCTTGGGACTTGCAATTAGTAGTGTGAACAGGGTTTGTACGATAGTGGGTTGCGTCAACGATGCAAGAATTGCAAGGGTTCTGAGCCCACAATCTGGAAGAGTACTAGGAAATTCCATTCCGAATGTAGTCTCAATGGCGATCATGAAGAAGAAAGTGGAAGGAATAGAGGGGGATGCAGTGGCCTGGTGTGGATCAAATAAGGATCTCGCTAGGGTGATCACCCATCAAATTAAAGCTAAGATTCGTCGTGAAGGTTCTCCCTCCTTTTTGTAGACGTCCGCTCCCTTGCTTATTGGGCACCGCCAACCTGTCCCCTGCTTACTGGAAGGCAGCTTCCTCTTCCCAAACAGCTTCCTCAAAACGGAGGCCCTATCGTGGGTGACAGTTCCTGTCTAGATAGCGTCAGAAATAAGCGGGTATTCTCCCTCTACAAAACCGTGACCATGTTTGTCGATGATCGATGACCAGATCTCTGACTTCCCACCTCTTCTTTGCAGACCTCCACTCTCTCGCTTGCCGCCACGGCGAATGTGTATCCGGTCCAATGGGACGGCAGCTCGCACTCCCAAAACGGCTTCACCAAAGGCCCCTTGACCCTTACCGCGCAACCCCAGTTCGGCGACGCTGTCGCGATCCGCGTTCCGCTGCTTCACATGGCAAGCTTCAACGATGGAGAAGAGGGAGAGAACCAGCTGTTTGCAATCATGGTGCTTATGCTCCCGGGAAACAGCGCAAGAAGGTGCGTGCTTTTCTCAAAAACGTTTTGGTTTCAGCTTTATTGGCAGCTTCATGTTCTGGGGTTTGCTTATGCGGTTGCTTCGTGGGGCGATTTTGATGTTTAATCGACTAAGAGGGGGAGAACCAGCTGTTTGCCCTTATGGTGTTCATGCTCCCAAGAAACAGCGACAGGAGGTGGGTGCTTTATTAAGGAAAGGTTCTAGAATTCAGGTTTCTTCTACAGGTGTCACCAACACGAGCTGAAGATTTTGTGAGTTGGCTGCGGATCAGGTTGCGGTTGCACTAAGTCACGCCACGACCTTAGAAAAGTCGTTGAGGGAACGTAACGGATGCGAGATTTTGTTGATAAGAAGCCTAAGGAACGGGGATCTGAAAGTGAAGCAGAAATTCGTTTTGTATCTAGGTGGAACTAGCACGAGCGGAAAAGTTTCTGTAGGTAATTCTGGAGCAAGTTGCAATTGTGCTGAGTCGCTTCACGAGGCTGGAGGGGTCATGTAAAACTGATCAAAGCAAATTCGGGAGGTCATTCTCAGAAAGTCACCTATCGTTGAAGATCGTAGTGTACTCTTTGTGCAGGTGGCACCAACACGAGCTGGAGATAGTGGAAGTTGTTGCGGATCAGGTTGCGGTTGCGCTGAGTCACGCTGCGATCCTGGAAGAGTCACTGAGAGCATGTGACCAGCTACAAGAGCAGAACGCGAGCCTGGACGGAGCGCGGCGCGAGGCAGAGAAGGCGATTCAAGCAAAGAACGACTTCTTGGCGGTGAGAAAACTTTCCGAATCAGTGGTTTCACTCCGGCTGGTTCTCGAATTGTTGATTTAAGTTTCTATTTTCTCTAAACTGGACGGGGAGTGGAGAAGGCGATCCAAGTGAAGAACGACTTCTTGGCGCCGAGAATTTCCTTCGCACTTGTTGTGTCCACCCGGCAAGGAGCAACCTTTCGGCAGTTTCCCATCCTGTCTGCGTCAGTTCTTTCGACTTGAAAGCTTGTATCTGCGCGTGCGCTTTTTTGGGTTCTGCCTTTGACAAAAGATATGGAAAGCATCGCCATGAAAAGGAAACGCGGATTCACTAAGCAAGAATATATGTATGGACCCAAACCCTCGTTGGAGCTGCCAAAGTGGGCCCGTGTAACTGGTGGGTCCATTCCCCCGAGCCCAATCAAGCCTGGTCAGGGGACTGGCAACTTTCTAAGCTCATGCATTGCAATTCTCTATCGGAGCCTGCCTCATTTCAGCCCTTAAACTTCAGAGAATCCGCTGGTGAAAAGTTCGAAGTTCGTACAGTCTTGATGCTGCTATCTGCAGGCAAGATCCATGAGGTGCGCATCGACATGCGCACCATCTTGTGCTCGTTGTTGCCTCCTAAGAGGTCGTGTGCACAAGGGATTCCGAGCTACACTTCCTAAACCAAGTCAGTGCTACGACTTATACCCAGATTTTCAAACCCTAAGCGTCTAGACGCATCCAACGAGAGACTTTTTCGTCTGCCGGTAATGAACCACGAGACGCGCATGCCGATGCACGCAATAATTGCGCTGTCGCCTCTCCTCCAAGAATCGGAGCTCATCCCCAAGCAGCGCTCCTGAACCGTGTTTAAGCTAAACTGAATCTCCAAACCCCAATTCATCAAAAGCGGTTAACAAGAGGGTTCTTGCTGCAGGTGATTGAATCACGAGATGCGCACACCGATGCACGCAAGCATTGCGTTGTCGTCTCTTCTCCAAGTATCGGAGCTCACCCCCGAGCAGCGCTCCTGAACCGTGTTTAAGCTAATTCAAATTTCCAAACCCAAATTCATCAAAAGCGGTTAACAAGAAGGTTCTTGCTGCAGGTGATGAACCACGAGATGCGCACGCCCATGCACGCAATCATCGCGCTGTCGTCTCTTCTCCAAGAATCGGAGCTCACCCCTGAGCAGCGCTCCTGGACTGGGACGGTTCTCAAGAGCGCTAACCTGCTGGCGACACTCATCAACGACGTGCTTGACCTGTCTCGATTAGAGGACGGGAGCCTGGAGCTCGAGGCGAAGGATTTCAACCTGCACACGGTTTTCAAGGAGGTGGGTTACTGGTCAAGCAGAGGCTTGTTTATCCTTGGTTTGAGATTGGTCTCAAATCGGTTCTCGATTTAGAGCTCTCGACTTTCATTGGGTTGCCAGCAAAACACCGAAGGCCAAGGATTTCAAGCTGCACACGGTTTTCAAAGAGGTGGGTTACGGGTTAACCAAGGTTTGATTTTCTGGTTCTGATACTGGACTCAAGTTGGTTATGAGCTCAGATTATTATCGGGCTTGCCAGCAAGAGACTAGGATTTCAATCTGTACACGGTGTTTAAGGAGGTGGGTTAGGGGTTTAAGCGTATCATGTTCGATTAGTGCGGATCGAAAATGATCTGAAGCTGGTCCTGAGTGGGTTTAGAAATCACCCGACGCTGGTTTTGTAGTTGGTCTGGAGATTGGTCAGTTTTGTGGTCAGATACGAAGACCCTACAGCTTGAGGATTACCAGGCTTCAATCCGCACATAGATTCCAAGAAGGTGGGTCAGGTGCTTGTTGCTTTCAGCCGTTCTCGTTCGAGAAGACAGCGAGGTACGGCCATTTGCAGAGCTCGTCATGGGTTAGGACAAGGGCCTCATGCCACCCAAAACCTACCCAGTTCGACAGGGCTTGAGCATGACACGATCCATCATGCAGTTCATCGAGACGGTCAAGCTGACAGCCTCGGTTGAGAAGCTCGTTGTGACGCCGGCAAAATGCTGCCGACGTTTCTGAACCTGTGACTGGGGATGACAAGCGCTCACATGCGCGCCCTATGTTTTGAAGAGCATGACTATATTTTTTGATGCTTCTGTCGACTATCTTTTTTGCACGTTGTGAACGACATAGCAATGCCGCACCCATTTTTTACGACATCCCCGAATGGGGAAGACAAGCGCCCCATGCAAACCCGGTTCTACTTCCCCCAGAATCCTGTAGTTACGAGAGCTCAACAATAACAAGCATACTTCATGCAGGTTACCAACTTGGTCAAGCCGATCGCCTCGGTCAAGAAGCTCGTCGTAACGCAACAGATCGCGGCCGACGTTCCGGAGCTCGTCACCGCGGACGACAAGCGCCTCATGCAAACCCGCTTTGACATACCCTAGCAACATGCATTTATGAGATCGTAACGATACCGTTCTAATTCTACTGCAGGTCATCAACTTGGTCAAGCCCATTGCTTCAGTCAAGAAGCTCGTTGTGACGCAACAAATTGCTGCCGACATTCGTGAACTCGTGACCAAGTCAACAAGTGCGTCATGCAAACCCGCTTTACATCCCCCGGAATCTTATATTCACGAGACCTTAACAATACCAATCATACTCCATGCAGGTTACCAACTTGGTCAAGCCGATCGCCTCGGTCAAGAAGCTCGTCGTGACTAACCAAATCGCGGCCGACGTCCCGGAGCTCGTCACTGGGGACGACAAGCGCCTCATGCAGACGGCGCTCAACGTCGTCGGGAACGCCGTCAAGTTTACGAAAGAGGGCTCCATTTCCATGACGGTTTGCCTCGAACGGCCGGAACTAGAGCGGGACCCAAACACCCCCGACTTTCAACCGGTGAATACCACCGAGTACATTTACATCAGGGTTCAGGTGAGATTCGACGCCCGGTTGATTGCTCCGAGCGTCTCAGGTTCGCTTGACCGTTGTCTAGTTTGGCTTTGGGTTTCAACCGGACACGGCTTTAGTAAGGTGCAGTTAAGAACTTTCTGCCTCATAGCTCCCACTGGGAAAGTTTCTCCGAACTACTGTAGACTTCACTAACCAATATCTATTTTTGAAACCAAGTGAACGGTCTTCCACTTCGTCCGGAATAAGGTCCGTAAAGGTGGCACTTCCCATGTTTTGAAGTAAATGCTCCTCGACAACCACTTGGTAAGCCTCTCAGTAACCGATGCGAAATACAGCTTCTCTGGCTTGTTGTGAAATGGGATTCTGGTTTCAGTCCCCGAACTTCAAGAAAGGGCACTAAGTGGGGCTACTCATTGCAGACCACTACGGACTCGTCGCCAGTCCATATCAGCCGTGGTGAAATCGCAAACCAGTGCTGACTCCCAACTAACGTCATCAACAGGTGAAGGACACTGGTCGGGGCGTCGACCCGAGCACCATTCCGAAGCTGTTCAACAAGTTTGCGCAGCCTGACGGAACCGGGGGAAGGAGCGGAGGGGGAACCGGACTGGGCCTCGCAATTTGCAAACGGTGAGGGTCGTATCATCGAAAAAGGTTTTGTGTTGACTTGTGTGGTTAAGCCGTTTCTTGGTCATCAACCAGTTCGATCCAATTACTGAATCGGTTTGGTGTCTCCACTTCTGTTAACCCATAACGGACATATCTCGCTTAAGAGCGAGGGCACCAAGAAGGGGTTTGTGGAACCTTCTTTGTTAACCAAACGGTTGGCACGCCCATCTCTCGGCATTTGCTCTTTCAGTAAGCTCAGAGTCGTCCTGATTGCTTTCCGATAGAGTCCAAGAAGAGTGTAAACAAACACTTAACCCGTTTCCTGACCTTGTCCAGGTTTGTGAGCCTCATGGACGGACACATCTGGTTGGAGAGCGAGGGCATCGGGAGGGGTTCCGTGGTAACCTTCGTGGTTAAGCTGGGGTTGCCCATAGCCCAGGTCGAGGCCGCTGCCACAAGCGCACCCCCTTCGCTTCGGAACCGGACCGACTTTGCGGGGGTTAGGGTCTTGGTTACGGATGATAACAGGTGGGTCGTCGAAAACTTTATCTGTGAGCCTCGGAAACCGAACCGGGACTGATGCGGTGTGGCTTTTAGTGACTCTTAGTTGATAGATTGAACACTCATTCTTGTGGACAGACCGAAAGCTTCGTGTGCTCCTTCCCTTCCCTATGTGAGGCAGTCGTGGGCTGAAGTCCCTTTGCGGATTGAGCTGGCAATTCGGACTTCCACGTTCAGCTTTTTATTTCCTTTCAATGCCTCCGACCTTCCACCCTTCTAGAAGTCTGCTCGCGCTTATGTGTTCCGCACATACGAGAAGCTTGTCTGCACAGCCCTCTGAAACGCTTTCACGAGAAGCTTGCTGCTGCTGCATACCCGGACCTTCACAATCGCGGCTATCAAGTAGACCTGTCCGGTTGTACTGGGGTGCCAGTTTGCTCGTTAATTCAAACTTTAACCCTTTGATCTACGCAGTGTGAACCGGATGGTGACACGTGGTCTTCTCATCCGCCTGGGGTGTGACGTCACGGTGGTGGGCTCTGGGCGGGAGTGCCTGGCAGCAATTGCAAAACCGGACCAAAAGTACCAGGTAGGAATGCTGGTTTCATTCGTTTAAATTTTTCAAGTCGTTCAACAACTCAACAACTGGTCAGAACGATGATTCTGCTTGTTGTTTTTTCTCGTCTACGCTGCGTGGTGCAGCATTCCTTTCCAAGCCTTCGAGGATCTATTTAGCGGATGAAGAACGAAATGCAGCACCGAAGAAGTTGGCATATTCTTGGTATCAGTATCAGGCATCACTCCCCTTAGAGCAAGTTTTGAATTAGGCCCCCACTTCGTATTCAAACTAAATCACATTCTACTTTCCAATCATAGCACTTCGTTCAAGGATGCTCGTTTTTGGTTTAGGTTCAAGCTTTAGAAAGCCTTGAACACGATGTACTGTCGTAGACACACATACTAGGCTCCCATCTGCTGACAAGACTGCCAACCGACATCTTTTCAGGTACTCCTTTTGGACGTTCTGATGCCGGACATGGACGGGTATGAAGTCGCGACGCGTATCCAAGAGCGACTCAGCAAGAACGAACGCCCGTTGATGGTCGCCCTAACAGCGAACACGGACAAGCGAACCCGGGAGAAGTGCCTGAAATTGGGAATGGATGGCGTGCTGCTAAAGCCAATCTCGCTCGAGAAGATGCGGCGGTGCTTGAACGAGATCTTGACGACCGGGTCTTTGAGCGAGAACAAGCAGTGAGAAGCGGCGGGTTCTGAAGACGCAACCTTGTGTCTCAGGAGTTGTATGTGACGACGTGATATCCTGATGGCAGATAACAGAGTCATGTAGACGGGTTTTGATGGCGAGTTTACTTTTATTGGAGCGTATCGTGAGGTGTTACATACTTAGTGTCGACAGTCATTTGTGGCGACCACCAATATGTTGGTTATGCTAGCTGGTAGCGAAACAAAGCCCTTTGCAAACTTCTCCACGTTTACCACTCAAGGCACATCAGTGTCAGCAATGCGCAGCTATGATTCTTCTATGTGAATTGCACCCATGCATTCAATATCTTTGTGCAGCGCTGCTGAAATTGCGCGATGGTAATCAGTTCTGAATGATGGCACTATCATTCCGATCTGAATTATGACTCGGACTTGCCCGGCCACACCATGTTCGATGCGGATGACCGTGTCGGATCGCAGTCTGCCAGTGGTCGTCGGCTGCATGCCGGCTTCCATGCAGACACATGCCGCGCATATGATGTGCTGCACCATCATCTGCCAGCGCACTTAGAACTGAACACCGTAAGTACCATGAGATTATACCCACGGTTGGAAAAACTTGATTCTCTGAATCTACCGTACTGCAGTAAGCGTAATCAGACCGAAACTTATCGTTGCATGCAGTGGGTACGTATGCCATGATGTTAACGTAATCAACTGCATGTGCAGTGCCCATGGGGCGGCCTACTATAGCTAAATTGGTCACCAGGTTATTCCGCGGCCGGCCATGCATGGCTGTCGGTGACTTGTCGGTGACTAATTAATGAACTGCAATTCTCATGCACGGTCACTGATCGAACAACAGCTCATTCACTTTAAGTTTGCTAGTTAGAACCGTGTTGCATGATGCGTACTAATGACTAACGCTATAACTTACGGTGCACCATGCCAGCAATGATGCAGGCCGGAACTTTAATAGCTCTCCGAAATTCACACAAACTATATGTGTAGCTCGACGATATCCGCGATCATACATTCACGAGTGCATGGTAGCCATGAGCCAACCATGCAGCGCGCCGAGCTACAAATTTCACAAACTATAATAGTTGGCGGCGGCAGGCCTGCAATATGTCACTGACTTCAACTCTTTCATTTGGCGATTGAACCAGTAATGCGCCCTCTTCAACGAATCATACTATGTCGAGGGAACTTCATTAATTGCAGCTGCGCACTTTAACCCAAGTTGCCGTGGAATACTTTGCATGGATGACTCAGTGAGGGCGGCATTCAAGAGGCTCAAACAATCGTATTTTGTTTCGACAGCTTTCATTTGTGCGTTTACTGCGTTGATTCCTGCGGGGAATTGCGAGGTGTTCAGAAAACAAACAACGAATCTTTCGGTGTTCAGAGTCAGGTTCTTGCCCGGTTCTTGTAGGAATTAAACTTGACCAGCAAACTTCACCTAACAGGAGGCGTAGTTAACGAAGTGCCGGCAACTGGATGGGGCGGGCCAGCGCAAAAAGGCGGACGTTGAAGGCGAAGATCGAAGGTGGCACATCGGTAGGGCTGTTCACGAGAGTGCTAAGGCGAGCGACACCGGTTGCGCCGGAGAAGCGGCCCGTGCCGCCAATGACGGCTTGGTCGGTTGGGATCATCGGGTTGAAGGGGCCCTGCACATGAGCAATAATAAGGCGCCTAACTCAGATGATCTTTTGCACAGTTTAAAATCGAGCGCCAGATATGGCAAGATAACCTCCCTGAGATGGGTAGGGTTAAGAAGGGAGTTTAGGATGGGCACAGGTTCGGAGCAGGTGATTTGTGGCGGTTAAGTTTTAATGTCAGCTTCGTTCTAATCGAAATTTGAGCCCGATTGAGTTCTAGAGAACTGGGAGTTCAAACGCAACCTCTAAAGCGGGGCCGGTGCGTACATACAACTCACGACAGGTAGTTATAAGCCACAATCATAACAAGCTTCAACTAACACTCAAAACCGTTACCCGAAAAGATACCTGCTCCGCACCCATACCCACCCTAACCACGTCAGACTAACCCTACCCGTCCAGAGCGGTTACCTTCTTATTATCTCCGCTTATTATTTATTTTCTTGAGTTCGATGGTGCGTACCGTGATGGAGAAGGACGAGTTGTCCGCGCTGAAGATGATTGTGCCGAGGCACTCGAACTGTATTTGGCCCGTCACAGTGAGGCCAGCTGTCACGAAGCAAAAGCCCTGGAGCCGACCCAAGGTCTCGTTCGTGCGGAAGTCTTGGATGACGTTGCTGTGACGTTGGAAAAACATGAGAGGACGTGAGCCAAAGTCACACCAGATGGCCAGCGCGAACCATATACTGATTTTCAACAAGTCATGCTGACGTCACCGCCTTACGGGCAGACCAGAGTGTTAACCCTACGTTCCGCAGTTGACATGATGGCCCTATAACATGCTCAAAACTCCTACCGTCAAGAGACAGCTCCACATACAGACGTCGTTAGCCATGATTTTGAGAGACGTGGAACAGGTTCACGTTATGAAACGAGTGCCTCGACTCGTCACACGAAGTTTCCGCTCCCAACCAAAAGGTTGAAGGGTTTCAAACCCACAGCTAACCAGCTAACCAGCTAATTACCAATCTCTTCTAGCGGAAAGGCATCTATCCTAGGCTTGTTAGGGGTGGATTGCTTTCTGATGTAGCTTCGAAACCAGGGGGACAAACACGCAGATTCAGCAGAAGCGTACACTCTAAGAAAGCGGTTCTTGTCGGGAAACGGAAGTATTTTAGTTGTCAAGAGGACGTCTTCTGCTCTGCTGCTCAGAGTGGACTGGAACGTTTGAAATGGAATAGTATTGATGCTTAGAGAACAGTTTCAAGTTTGATACCTTTTGCTTTTGAGCTTGGGGTCCCTAGGAAGAGTCTCTCCTGCATAAGGGATTTTTTGCATGCTTAATAGTCTTTCTCCGAAGCAATACTATAACAAAAGAGCTGGTTACTAATCGCTCACTTTAGTCCCACATCGCTCCCAAAAGTAGTGCCCGTCGAGTTCACAGTCTCAGGCGTCTCAATCTCTCGCAGCTGCAAGTCGAATTGTGTGTACTCCAGCTTCACTTCGCCAGCGGATTGCGCGCGTGCGAAAAGGGCGAACGCCAACGTCAGCATGACCTGCACATCATGTCATATAAGCAGAAGGAGCAATGAGCTGCAAGTCAAATATATGAGTGCACTCCAGCTTTACTTTGCCAGCTGATTCCACGCGCGCCAAAAGAGCGAACGCGAGCGTCAGCATCACCCGTATGTGACGTCGTCATAGCAAAGAGAGATTTCCACATATAAGCGGACGTTAGGTTGTGCTTAGACGTCCGGAGGATCCCTTTGAATGCAACGAACGGGATGAGTGTAATCCTAGCTTACGCTAATTACCAATTCCAAATCGATGAACAGATGAGTTCGTGTTATCATTTACAAGAGTTCGGTATAGCGGTTCTGCATAATTAGCCAGAATAACCAATCGAGACGTCTGAGAGGCGTGGAATCTCAAAGAAGAACTATAGAAGAAAGATCCACGAGCTGTCTATTCTAGGGGCAGCATCTATTTTCATTCAATGAGCTCTACTCGTTGGGACTCAGAAAGCGATTGGAACGGGCCTGCAAAGGAGCATACGCAAGCATTCCTTAAGGGTGCGCAAGTTCCTTCTGGGGAATGCATACACTGTACCATCTCGAAGAAGAGAATCACTTATTATCAGCTTCGGCGCAGTATTGGCGGCCATTGTACGTGTGCTTGGTCGAATGGAGACGTAAGACCGGTTGGTGTTGTCGCCTTATTTGAGGTAAAGGCTTGAAATGTTGGATGTCAGAAATTCTTGACAATTCTTGCCGATGATTCGCGTGTTTTGATCCAATGCGTTCATTTTGCTCTGTTTATATAGGCTAGATAGTAGCTTCAAAATGCAAAGCCTCAGAGAACATACCCCATCCTCGAAGGCACTCAGGTCCTTGAGTCGATTTGAGTCACAGCCCTTTTTTCCCTTAGCTTCTGAGAATGAGCCTAAGCTCAACGGGAGCTAGACCTCGATTAAGTGAAAAAGCTCGAGCAGATTCGTAGAGCTGCAACAGGCGTGAATCTTCATGTCGATATAGCCGCTTCCATGCATTCAAGCGTCAAGAGAAGACCTTGAAAGTCGCAATGAAACTGCGACAGCTCATGCAGGTTACCAACTGTTCCTTCAACAAATACGCCCATGAATCGGAACCAGCGAACATGAGTACACCTCGTGACTCTAATGCGGTTGCCGTTGGATGTTGAAAACTGTATCTCGGCCTCGAATCAAGATACCAGACTTTTGGGTGAACAGCTCGAACGGGTTCTATTTACCTCGGAACAATGGTGCTAATGCATCAGATTCTCCGACGTCGATCACGGTGTCCCCTGCGGATCCAAGCTCTCAGAAGGGACCGTCTCACTAACTCCATTTTCAACTTGGGTAACTCTATTGTGCCCTAACCGTGGTGTTTTTTAAGACAAGCGCCCAAGGGACGGGTCGGGTTGGCCAGGTGGTTAAGGTAACGTGGGTTAGGGGGCGAAGCGTAATGAGATGCTGGGTTAGGGGCCCGCTAGTTAATTTGCTCGGAGTCTCTGTACGGAATATAAGGGACACAGTTGTTAGTGCGCGCCCCGCTTGTCGGCCGGACCCATGCATGCTGTCGGATCGAGCCTGCTGCGCCTTGTCCCGACGGTTGAACGTAAGGCGCGCCGGCACATAGAGAATGCAATGAACTTGGGGATCCGTAAGCCCAGATCACTACTTACTAGCTCGCGAATGCCTGCAGAATTCCGGGCCGGGCTCCGGCCCGTACTGATCTCTCAACTTTAACAACTTCTGCAAACTGAACGTGTTCATGACCTATGTACTCACCGGCCCTCGCAATCGATCGCACACTGGCCGGGGCCACCGATGCTCGCACATGATGATTGGATCCGATCACGTCGATCAACGGAATTGGAAGAATGCATGATTGACCAAGGCGCAGTGACACAATTCGTAGACGCAAGCTAGTACCAACGGTTAGTATGGACGGAGGACTATACTAAGTTACCAGTGGGTGGCCTCTTTGAGGATTTGATAATCACGTAAAATCTGCTCACGGTGCCCGCAAACAACGCAGCGCACCAGCAGTCGAGCCTGCTCCGTATTTCGATCGAGCTACTCCATAATGAAAGGGACATGGCTTGAAAGTTCACACGGCCATACGGCCTGACACTTTTTCTGTTTTACCTCGGTCAACCGAACACTGTTCACAGGCTGAGCCCAATTAGGGCTTCTAGTCTTTGCAAGGCGCGCTCGACGTTACGGCAGTCCCTCTAACGCCCTAACGAACCGTCCCAAACCTCAAAGCGGCAGCAAATACCCAAATTTCTCTTTCTCCTCGAACAACACCGGCGGCAACCCTGCGAGAGACCGCGTCCTAGACAACGTCCCAAACAAGCAGGTCTCGATCTGATCCTGCGCCAAACGGGGGTCCTTAAACTCCTTCGGAATCTCCCCGCCGTGAGAGTACTGGGTGATCTTGTTGATATACGTGGGCAGAGGCATGCACGAGCTGCAGTGCCACCCGCCGCACTTGATGGTGACGTCAGCGTGGTTGCGGAGCTCCCGCCTGACTAGTTGCCCCGACTTGTGCATCTTCCGGATGTGCTCGTCTGGGTGGCCGTCGCGAATATATTTGCCGAGTGTAACTGCAAACGAAAGGGAGAAGGTTAAGGTCACCATGTTTGATTAACCCACTGATTACCGGGGCTGCTAGGTAACCGAGGTTGGATAGTGAGGCACGTCCCTCCCTTCCCGCCTAATGGGCATCCTTGAAGGAGTTTTCTTTTTGAGAACTGTACGTGAGGAAACTGAGTCTGGAAGTATCCTATGTTTAGGGGTTCGTTTCAAAGATTCTGCCGAAGCGTTACAGCAAACCGACACAAAGGGGAGAAACAAAGAAGACAGATCTCGGACCATGAATTCCCGCCTGACTAGTTGTCTCGAGTTGTGCATCGCCCACCGATAGCAAATTGGAGTCGCAACTATGTGATTGCTCGAGCGTAGCAGCACTGAGATTCAGCGCCCTTCTACAGAAGACGTCCCTTGCTTTGAACCTCAATCTCCTTCAATGATCACAGTCTTGTATGCAAAGAGGGATTTTAGACCGACCCATACGTTTGTGTTCGACGAGTGCCTTGATGCCCCCAAACGTCTGAAAACAGACGGTGCATTGAGACTCGAGCATGTCATTTTACGAGGAAATTTGAAGTCCATTTACTTTCAACGAACGCGAGCCTCACCAAACGGTCCTCGATCACTGCTACTTTCTTTGCTCGAACCGCAGATGATGCAGAAAATGCCAAACTGAACTAGGTTAAGCCCAGGGTCAAGATTGGGCTAGTATTGGTCCAACCAAGGGGGAAACAGAGGTAAACGGCGCCTCTGCTATAATCTCGTTACGAAGGTGGGTTAGGCAAACCCTCACCGACAGTCCCCGGCCACTGCTCCTCCCCCTCGAACCGCGGCTCGATGCACCCGAAGCTAAAGCAAGGCAGGTAGAGCCCGAGGATACCATTGGGTTAAATCCACTACAAATATGGGTTTAGCGAACCCTCACCGACGGTTCCCGGCCACTGCTCCTCCCCCTCAAACCGCGGCTCGATGCACCCGAAGCTGAACCGGGTCAGGTTAAGCTCAGAGTTCTTTTGAGATAAAATATTTGACAAGTGGGTTAAGCAAACCCTCACCAACTGTCCCGGGCCACTGCTCCTCCCCCTCGAACCGCGGCTCGATGCACCCGAAGCTGAACCGGTAGAGCGGCATGTGCAGCACGAGCGGGAACTTTTGCTCCGCGTCCGTTTTGAACGCGTGCACGACCGCCGGTTTCGGCAACTCGTCCAAATCGCCCATCATCGCAATATCTTCGTCGTCTATTTTCTCGACCGCGTCCATCGTCACGTTGCGCATGTGGTCCTCGCGGTTCCACGGGGACGGGTCGTGGAGCGGCCACGTGGCGAGGTCGCAGTAGACGTTCTGGATCTTGTCGGCGAAGGCGGCAAAGCGCGGCAGCTTCGTCACGTCGATCAACTGTAATGGAGGAGATTGAGGTTATAAGGTTTTGCATTTTTTGAGGCTTCGTGGATTGAAAGGGACGGGTCGCAGAGGGGCCACGTGGCGAGGTCGCAGTAGACGTTCTGGATCTTGTCGGCGAAGGCGGCAAAGCGCGGAAGCTTCGTCACGTCGATCAGCTGCATCAAAAGGGTTTGGAGGCATCAGGGTTTTGGATTTCAGAGTCTGCGTGGTTTCAAAGGGATGGGTCGTAGAGAGGCGACGTAACGAGGTCGCTTTCGATCTTGTCCTTGAACTCGGCAAAGCGCGGGAGCTTCGTCACGTCAACAAACTGCATAACACAGGAACTTAAGGTTGATGATTCGCTGAGAGCTTCCAGATGTCAAGTGGGTGGGAAGTTGAGGTGCCACGTGTCAGTCACACGTTCTGAATGTTGTCCTTGAAATCAGCAAAGCACGGGAGCTTCGTCACGTCGATCAACTGTATTGAAAGGATTTAAGGATTTCAGACTTTGGAATCCGTACCTTGACTGTAATAGTCAACCAAGCTTTTCGGCCGTTGGCCAAAAAGGACGAGCGGCAAAGCACGTTCCAGGGTACACTCTTCAAGCACATACGAAGCACAGAACTCAGAACCTGATGAAAACGACGCGGTCACCTTCACCTCGACCGTGTTATTTTTAGAGAGCTCTTTTCGCGCAAAGTTTGCACGAAACTGTCGACCACGCCTGCGACCGTCCGACATAAACCCACATTTTCGCCAGATTATCTCCAAAAGGAGCAATCCGATAGGGTTTCGAACCAGAAAGTGATGGAATTCTGCCTCGGCACTCACCTCGACCATGTTGTTTATAAGGCTCTTTTCGCCTTGTCCAGTTTCGGCTTCCTTCGACAAACGCTCTTTCTTTCTCTATTCTCTCCAAAGCGAAGCAGACTCGGGAAACTCAAGGATTCGACTCACCTCGACGGTGATATTCATGAGGCTCTTTCCGCACATGAGCAGCGGAAACTTATCTACTACCGGCACGAGCGTTCGGAGCCGTCACTCATGCTCCAGAGTCCTCTTTTCAGAAACACCGAAGGAGCAGCGTTGGAAAACCAATCAACTTTTCCTGCGGCCCTCACCTCGACGGTGTTAGTCATACGCTCTTCTCGCACGTGATCAGCACACTTTTATCCACCACAGGCGCGAGCATCCGAAGCCAATTTCGAAACTCCTCCAATGATTTTGGCTTGTTTTTTCACATACCTGTTTACTCTCGGTTCCATCGAGACTGAAATAACTCAGGAAACCCACAAATATTCGATCGGCCTACCTCGACGGTGTTGTTCATGAAGCTCTTTTCGCACATGATCAGCACGAACTTATCCACGACCGGCGCGAGCGTCCGGAGCCGGATCTCCAGACTGTCCAACTCGTCCAAAAACGTAAACACGTCGTACACCTTTCGCTGGAAACTGCCGACTTTGAGATTGGTTACGGCCGAGTCTTTGTCCGTTGCTTGGCATAGCGGCGTCGGGACGTCTTCCCGTGGATCTTCGGGGGAGAACTGCGCAAAGAAAAGCTGATGTTTGTCAACACACATTCCGACATTACGTCACTGCGTGTGTCGTAGCCAAAAAAGCGGAGGGGGAAGAGCGCCAGATATACTACCCTGTTGAACGATTTAAGACGAGTGAAAAACGACAAATTTGAAGAGTAAAAGCAGCGGAGTCCTGTCCGTTGCTTGGCATAGCGGCGTCGGAACATCTTCCCGTGGATCTTCCGGGGAGAACTGCAGAGAGGAGAGCTCGCGTTTGTCAACGTAAGCTCACAACGTTCTTCACTAGTTGCGGCCAAGTGGACTTGAGCTGAACAGTGAAAATCGACAAATTTGAAGAGTAAATGCAGCGGAGTCTTGTCCTTTGCCTGGCATAGCGGCGTCGGAACATCTTCCCGTGGATCTTCCGGGGAGAACTGCAGAGAGGAGAGCTCGCGTTTGTCAACGTAAGCTCACAACCTTCTTCACTAGTTGCGGCCAACTGGGTTTGAGCTGTATAGTGAATCGTGAATAGTGGAGATTGGGAGCAGTGGGGACACACTCTCTACTTGAAGAGTTCGAGAGGCGTGACAAGGAGGACACTTTGCGGAAGTGATCACAGCAGTGTCTTTTGTAGTTGACAGAGTAAGCTCTGGACTTCTTTCCGAAGATCTTCGGGAGACACCTGCACAAACGAAAGCTCTCATTACTTGACAAGACCTTTTTAAGTGACTGAATACCGCCGAGATTGTAATTATTGGTATCCGAAGATAGGAACGAGGGAGACACGGTCGGGGGTTTTGAGACCAGTGAAAAGAACGACAAATCATATAAGTAAGTGCGGCAGAGTCTCTGCAATTAGCAGAGCGGAGTCATGACATCTTCCCATGGATCTTCGGGGGAGAACTGTTCAAATGACAGCTCGCGTTCATCAACAAGATGTTTCGTAGAGACCGGTTGCAGCCGAGATTATGTATCTTAGTCGGAAAAGTGTTATCCAAACATGTCCGGGAGACCTGTGGAAGACACCGCTTCATCCAAGAGTTCGAGACGAGTGGAAGGAACCGGTTACATTATCGATTGCAGCGGAGTCTTTATTAGTGACAGAACAGGGTCGGGAAGTGTTCTCGCGGATGCTCGAGGGAGATCTGCACAAACAAAGCTCACAGGTAAGCTCACGGAGTCGCAAGTAATTGCAGCCAATTGTGCATCTTAGCTGGAAAAGTGGAGAAGTGTTGGATGCACCACTCAGTTCAAATGTCCGAAACATCACCATTGCAACAGCCTACATATTCCTCGTCTAACATCAACTCCCTCAAAGTCTTTTGGTAGGATTTGCAAACAGGTCTGGACATTGAGATGAATCAGCGCTCATAAAAACTCCCCGTACTCTGTAGCAACACATGACCATGGCCTAGTTTGTACTTCGATAACCTAAAAGGGATCCTGCCATTCTTTACACCCTGATGGCATTGCATATGGTCCTTCCTGGAAGGCGCCGCCAGTTTCTTTACACCGGAAAGAAGGGTGAAAGAAACAGCAGCCGTTGATAACTGAAACTGGTTGAGTTGACCACTTCTTGGTAGGTTTGTGACACGACATAAGTATTTGGCTCTGCTGCGGGGTTTGCATTTGAACACGGGCCTGATTCCTTGCCAAAAGGTATGACACACGCAAAGTCAACATTATTGGTATGTCAGAACCCCTGCAGTACGGACTAATCTGTAATATGCCGTCTAAAGCCACCACTCTCTCCCCACTGACGGGAAATCACCACCCTTTTCCTCAATGACAAGATCTTCAATCACTTGACCACCAAAACAATCAAAGTAGAAGGAATACAAAGATGAGGTTCGAAAAGCAAGAAGGAATGAACAAGAAACATGACAAAGGAAAGAAGGAACCAGGAACTCGAGTCAAGAAGGATGAAGATCTTACCTGCACCAGTGGCAGCCCCGCTTTCCGCACCCGCTCGTGCAGAAACTCTGCTTGGATCTTCCACGGATGCTTGTGGTAGAGGTCCTTGTGATCCGATTTCCACTCGCTCCTAGTTACATTATGCCGAGCAGTATCCAGCTCGACGAAATCGAGGTCGGAGAAGAAGGTTGCGCGTCCTGAGACGGCATAGATCGTCGTCGGGGGGGATGGTTGAATGAAACGGAAGATCTCGAGCAGTATGAGGAAGATGAGGAGGCACACTGCGACGGCCGGCAGGGCGGGCGCCCGTGTTTTGAGCTTCCTCATACTAGTTGCGAGAAACTTCCGCGAGCGGTGCCTTTATGGTCCCCTCAAGTAGACCTTAAGTGTAGAATCTGACAGAAGTGGACTAGATGGAGTGTATGATGTGACTGGAGTAGGGCAGAATGAATGCTGATGAAAGTTAGAGGTCGACTGTGATCCAGGGGCCTCACTTCGAGGCACTTGAAACCTTGGACCTAGCTGTAGTAAATCAGGATTGGCCTAAGATCAACAATCAGAAAGGCACTTTGTATTCAAGTGAGCAGGCAGCCCATCAATGCAGCTGAGCGAGAACACCATCCCTGAGCAAAGTGTGCGCAACAGCAAAACCTTCCGTCAAGATCCTAAATTTGGAGCTTCTATGCGTTCAAAATGCTGCTTGAATCGAAGATCCGTTGCTTAGGGTTCCGCACAAGCGCGATCCCAGCTCAAACTGCCTCCCTCTTTGTCTCAGCTCCCTGTGAATGTGAGGGGCCCTTGTACTGACCGCAGGAGCTAATATTTGAAGCTCGAGCAAGTGCTTTTGCCATTGAACTCATCATCTTTATCACCTGCTCAGCTTGCAGTGACCATTTCAGCTGTTTTCGCGCTTCTTGTTTTAGCTGCTGCCGTGCTCTGTGCAGCGCCATGATGCCCGCCGCCGAAAAATGCGCGTGGGGCAACTGCAAGGTTCCAACTAGGGGTGGTTGGAATCCAAACTCCTCCCGGTAAAGAGATGGTTTAAATAGGCTCTTTTACTTACTATAGTGTCAAACGCTTCCCCTGGGTTTAGATCTGTTACAAAGATCTCTAGGCGGTCCCGTGCAGAGCGATCTGACCCCGTTGACTAAATATTGATCTGGTTGACCCATGACCACCCCGGCCCGAGGAAAACAACGGTATGTAGGACACAGAGAGCGGTAATGGTTGGATCCAAGTCCCATCGACGCAGAGCCTAAAGCGAACCCCCGACTGACTCCCGGTGCGTACCGTAGCGTCGATTCAATTAATTTGCCGCGCTCGGTGGTAGGAGTTGAGCCGGGCACCGCACAGTCAGCAGAGGAGTGCCCGGTAGCATATTTCTCCGGCCCATAAGATAGGCAAATCCAGTGTCAAACCGGTCAGAAGGTTCTCTTCTAACCATAAACATTCAAGGGTTTCGCCGTTTCGAATTCTTGGACTACCGGTAGTTTCGAGCACTGGTATCATGCAAAGAAACAAACTTCCATTCCGAAGACGACTCGATCACCTGAGCAGGGCTTCCATTTAGAAAGCAGCATTGCATATTGCGGTCTTATCCCATTTCAGCACTGGTCACTTTTACGTGATCGAACCGTCTACCAGAGGTCTCTCTGACCAGAGATCTGATGCCCCTTCCCCCACATTGGACGGCAAAAGTCCGAGGACGTTTCAGCGAGCAGGGCGCTGTTGGAATAATTCTGCTTGTACAGATTGCATTGGAGTCATGCTGACAGTCAAATGAAAAGTGGCCCTGCGAGGAGATGATCCTGTAGGCTGTAGTTGCTTTTAACGATTGGAGTTGTATCCTCCGCCAAACTCTGCATCTAAAAAAGCAGGCATAATGCTGACCATAATATAGAAGGGCAGGCAGATGAATGTTATGAGGTTGAAACCATCTCTGGCGCATCAATGCACAGGTGATTAACCCAGCTGATTAACCTGGTGATTGACCATCCATCAAGCCAGGCTGTGGGATCTGAAAGTTTCCTTTCACCATCAAGCTACTGCATAGACTGCCCTTTCAGCACCACTCCTACAGACTCATCCTCCAAGTATCAGCTTTGCTTCGAGATATGAATATTTTTGAACGACGCATAAAGTAAGCAGACAGGAGATTGGTTGCGTTGACGAGCCTAAGGTCTGCGCCTCGTAGCTGTGGTGTTTGCGTAAGTGCGCTCTACCGAGCAGAAAGATGGGGGTTCCAGTGGCCGGCATTGTTGCTGGCTACACATTATCGTCGTCCATACTGGTCATCATCAACAAGGTGGCCGTGACTGCATTCCCTTATCCTGCAATCCTGACGGTGAGACCCATGCATTGTGAAAACCCTTTTCTGCTGAATGGAGAAATCAATTTCGTGGGGGTTCAAGCAATACCCTGAAAAGTCATTCACTTTGGTGTAAAGGTTCTGACCTCTTCCGGGCCATAAGAGTACCTGGAGAGCTGATTGATAGTTCCAGAATGCTTCATCAAAGTAGGGAACCTTGCCAGCTGATGTCCCGCTCTGGCTTGACAAAGCTACAGCTTATGCGGATACTTTTTTTGACCTACCTTTAGGTACCATACTTCGCATATTCAGGTTGCTTTTTGAATCATTGAGACCAACTAAACCGGCAATTCATGTCGATTCAGGGGCCATATGCCATCTGTGCAGAAACATTGATGATTGACTTTTTCTAGGCTTCAAAAACTTAGACTCTCTGAGAGGCTTTTATATGAGGCAATCAAATGCAGAGAACAGACAACGCGTTGGGCCAGATTGTGTACTTATTCTGCTCTTGTGGTACCGAGTTCATGGATCTCAATCTGTTCTTGTGTTAAGAGATTCATTGTTGTCTCAATCAGAGCTTTGCTGCTCTTGCTCGGATCCGTAATCTTCTCAGCAAAGTTTCTCTGACCAACAAGTCAAGTGGTCAGAAGGCCTGCCTAAACTAGTACTTCAAACCTTCTACGCAACTGTAGCGAGTGTGCAGAGCAACAATATTTACTTCATTTTCGCCAGTCTGTTCAAGGGGAGTCAGTAGTACTTTGCCATACTGAGTTTTGCAGAAGGCTTTGCAATTGATGACCTGAAATGATCGTAAACATTCGGCTATAGGATACTGAACATAATCCACGTCATCACCAGTCCTCACATCTGCACTTCCTCCTTTGAGATGCCTGCATCTGTCTCGATCTTTTTTCCTTGTTTCATTCTCTGGATCAGTTGCCAGTCGCTGTCCTGGTATCTACTCCCTGAGCTGATCCTACGTTTGTGATACATCCCTTTTTACCCTTGCCTCAAGAAACTCTCGGCAGCTACAGTCTGGAACTTGACTGTTACCTGACTGCTTCGTTCATTTTGCAGATGCTCCAATACCTTTGCTCTGTCCTCTTTGTGGTCACCAAAGCTGTGATTCAGCCAAAGAGCGAAGGGAGCGTGAAAGGGGTCCTTGGCGACTCCAGCTGGTTCTCATGGGGCACCTTCAAGGCCTTCTTCCCTGCGGCACTCACCTACTTCATCTGCATATTCACCAATACGAAGATCCTCCAGGTAAAAACGCAGCCTGTGACTTCTTTCATTCTCAGAGAAGTCAGGTTCCTGTCTCAACAATGAGGATTCTCGTTCCCAAAACAAATTTCCAATCCTTTTACCCTGCGTTTCTGACCTGAATCATCTGCTCTTTCACAATAACCACGATACCCTAGCTACGATGATAGCCTGTCAACGCCTTCTCTTTCAGAGTCCCAGTTCCACAGAACAGTCACGCTCTCCCCGAGGCGCTTTGAAGCCTTCTTTCCTGCACCGGTCACCTACTTTATCTGCATACCCTTGCACATCGAGATCCTCCAGTTTCCTTTCTTCCACCTGTTGGTCTCGATTTTCTAAAGCGATTCCATCAAAAGCATACAAACAGCCATACCGCATCTGCTGAGTCTGGCTCGAGAGCTCTTTACCCACTTTCTGATCGAAACGTTACTCAAAACCGAAAAGAGCGTCAGCAGCAATTGTTCTCGTTTCTATTCCACGTCTTGTTCTCTCGACCATGTCGGCTTTAAGGACCGGCTGCAGAACCTAGTGGCCATTGTGTTGTTTCGAAGCAAATCATTTATTTGATCACTCGGAACTCACGCAAAAGTTTCTAATCAGTGCAGGTCTCAGAAGGGAGACCTGCTTTTTCGCTGGGACATAGTCACATTTTATGTTGACTCCACAATTTTCTTCGGACTGCAGGATGCCAAATCCGAGTATACCGGAACTTGAAGCTCTTCCGCAAGCTGAATCCTTTATCTTTCTGTCCATTTCTCTTGGCAACGCAGGTGCTTAGGGTGTTTATCGCCTGAACGCACACCAATCTTGACACCGTCGTCGGCTGCCATTCCAGTACGCAAGTGTCGAGACGTTCAGAGTGTTGCAAACCTATGCAAAGTACAGAGTGTTGACAGCTGAAGGGCACTTTTATATTGACACCACCTTTTGCGTCCACTCCAGTACGCAAACGTGGAGACGTTCATAGTGTTCCGGAGCTCGACGCCGATCCTCGTGGCCATCTGTGACTCGCTGTTTACCGGCCGGGCGTGGCCCAGCCTCCCGGCGTTTGCGAGCCTGGGGGTCATCTTCATGGGGGCCATCACGTACATGATCACGGACTCTGCATTCACGGTGAGTAGCGGTTGGAAATAGTCAATATAGCGGAAGTAAGCATCCTGTAAGTACGCTTTTGAGTCTGTGTACACCCAACCAATTATGAGCATTTTGAACCTCTGACTTCAGAGCAATAGTCTGGGGGTCATCTTCATGGGGCGATTACGTACATGATAATCGACTCAGCATTCACGGTGAGAATAACGCTTGGAAAAAGTCCACGATATAAAAGTAAGCCTCTTGTAAGTACGCTTTTGAGTCCGGGCCTGCCCGAAAAATCTCGAGGATTCTGAATTTGACTTCAAAATGGTAGCCTGGGGGTCTTCGTTTCAGGGCACTCCCGTACATGATAACGGACTCTGCATTCACGGTGAGACTAACGGTGGACGAAGTCCACGATATGAAAGTAAGCATCTTGAAGGTACGCTTTTGAGTCTGTGCCCAAACGATCACGAGCATTCTTAACTCCGACTTCAGACCGGTAGTCTGGGGGTCATATTGATGAGGGGATTCCCGTACATATCGAAGGACTCGGTATTTACGGCAAGGATTTGGATTGCGTTTTCGGACTCGGTTTCATGGTGAGGGATCAAACCTATCTTCAAGACAAGCAACACAGACAACGCTTTCCAATTTCGTGTCTGCTCGGATGAGTCCTTGCCTTCTTGTATGAGTCTGTCTTTGCCTGGATCGCTCTAAGCACATGCTGTGTACTTCGAACGTAGTTGGGAACCCATCAGTAATTTCAGGGAACCATCTACGAGTCGGCGGACTTGACGTCAGCGGTGGATGACCTGCTTAGAGTGACGGCTTCGAAGCAAGCCTACATGGCTTACTGAGAAGTCACGGCGAGGGACTACCTTTGATACCCGTTTGGTGCAGAGCTCGTCTTTACTTCCGATACCTAATCCGTTTTGTTCACGCGTTTGGAGAGCCTTTCGACTACGCTGAAGTCATCTGCAATCCGGCTTCGTGGGGGCAGTCAGTGCATAATGACTGACTCTTTGTTTGGGGGAACAGCTCGGATCCGATTGGGTGCGGTGCAAGCAGTGACTGCGCTTCAATTCTACGGTTCCAGAGTCGGCCGCCTCCTCCCAGAAATCTGATAAATGGCGTCTCGAGTTTAGTGAACTGCAGTCCTTCGAAGGCTCGTTCGGAGGTCGCTCTTTGAAGTGATGAGCTACTGATCATTAAATTCACGTCCAAGCGGCGCTTGAACGTGTTGCACCCAGATTAAGAGGATTTTTTGCCGTTTGCTGAGTCTGGAGCTTCTTCGAATTTCTTTAGTGTCTGGCCCAAATTTCGCATACACTCCAGGCACAGGGGCGTTGCCTGTGTCTCTTTGCGACTTGTCAGTGCCTTGCTCCTTTGTTTACGGGGCCTTCATGGACGCATTGTCAGCGACATTCTGCTTGTCATTACGTTCGACATAACCACTTTGCTGACATCAGAGCTGACGCCATCTCATCATCTCTCGGGCAACAGGTGCGCGCGTGCTCGTAAAGGTTTGCAGACCGGGTCGTCATCGCGTTCCACATCATCAGGTTGCTGACGTCTTCGCTGACGTCATCTCACAGGTGCGCGCGTACTCGTGGGCGTTCGCTTACCTGGTCGTCATCACGTTCGACATGATCTACATCAAGCACGTGGTCATGCACATCGGGCTCCCCACGTGGGGCCTCGTCTACTACAACAACCTCACCGCGTTCCTCCTCTCCCCCCCGGTGCTCTACGGAATGGGCGAATTCCGCGGAGTCATCGCGCAAGACTCGCAGGCGTGGTGGACCCAAATCGTGCCCATTGTCGCGTCGTGCCTGTTTGGCGTCGCAATTTCCTACTTCGGCTTCTCGTGCCGCCAGGCGCTCTCCCCGACCGCGTTCACAGTCCTCGGCGTGATGAACAAGCTGATCACGGTGCTCGTTAACATCATGATATGGGACAAGCACGCGAGCGTGGTGGGAATCGGCGCCCTGCTGCTGTGCATCCTTGGGGGGGTGCTTTACGAGCGCGCGGTCAAGAAGGAGAGGGTGGGTCCTGGCTTGGGAACAACCACATCTCTATTTCCTCGATACAATTGTGTCGCTCCTGCTCCCTTCCTTCCATTCTTAGGTCCCTGTTTGTAAGAGTCAACTTCATCATAAGCAGACCGCTTCTGCAAATCAAGATACATTTCAAAGCGAGTTTGGCGTTTGGCTATTTGTTTGGCCGTTCATTAGCGACACGTCGTTGTTGCAACCTGTGCATCTGAACGCTTCACTTATTCGAACCTACGATCTGGATCGCACGACCAGTTTGGAAACCTTAGCTCTGTCTGCGTCTGGACATCAGTCCCTTTCTGCCCCGCTTCTAAAACGGCCAGTGATGCGACAAGAAGACGTGCATGTCATGGAGCACGTAAACAACTTGCATGGTTTCACTGTTTTAGGAAGCTGCTGACAACAAGGAGAAGGAGATCAAGGAGGGCGACAAGGATAGCCTACCTATCGAGACCACGGTGCACGGGCCAAGTTCATGGAACGAGAGGTTTGGATGGAGGCGACTGTTCAGGCAAGCCGGCAAGGCAAACGGAGAGTACAGCGGCGTTGAAGACGACAAGCTCCTACCTATGAGCCCCATGCGGGAAGAGGGGAAGCAAGAGCCGTGAGCGCACAGTGACAAATGCACACGCCGCGCGTTGATGACGAACTACAATTGATCTTCTGAGTGTTTGAGACCGGTGAAGAATGATAGCTAGCGCCACTGACAAAGGTGACTGCTGAATTGAATAGATCTGTAGAGCAGAGCAAGGCAGAACGACAGCGTTGAGTTGGGATCCCCAGAGCTTTCAACGACTCCGATTCTAGATTTCAGCTGGTCTCAATGTATTATACAGGTTGGTTCATACGTCTTACTGTCCCTTGGAAAACAAATGCAGCTGGTGCGTATCAAGCATGCTTGATGTGTTAGCTTGGCATCGTGTTGTGTCGCAACTCGAGTGGTCCAGAAGCAATTTATTCTTATTTGCGAGTAGCTGGCGGTCGAATCAAATGAGTACTGCCAGCCTGCCATTGTCAGTGTTTGACTGGATTATGACAGTGAGGTCCTTCCCCGCGCCAGCTTCTCATAACTCAACCGAATAAGTTGAGGATCTTGGGTGTGACTTATCGGACCCTCCCGGGGCCGCCCCGGCCATGCAGTCTCTGAGTCCTGAATGCTTAAATTCTTGTTCTACAAAGTAGCTTCTTGAGATTGCAATTGCAAGAGTGATCACAGCTTTTGAAAACAAGAACTCCTAGGCTAGCAATGAAACAATGTCGGAACTCTTAATATAGCCATGCAAATACAAGTGTACGAATTACAGAAGTTTATAGCTTTAATGCTATTGTTATCATTGTCAAAGGCAGTGCGCTGGCGGCCGCCCAATCTGGCGGTCCAATCGTATTGAAGATGTTGAAGTCAGTGGGCCACATATTACCGTGCAGTGGCACGGGCGGCTCCGATCAACTCATCGATCGAGCATTTAGTATATACAATCTAGTCACTTGAGTCAGTGTTGGTCACTGTCCGTGACCAGACTCACGTCAAAACCCGGTCATATGCCATGATGGCTATAGCAGCAATTGTATATATATACGAGACTCTAACAGTTTCGTTGGCATACAGCCGGCGATTGATCCGAACTTATTTACCGGACCCGGCCACAATCAATGCAAGCGGCCGGCCCGGGGGCTATAGACTTCAAGACTTGCATGTCCAAAATTGCAAAATATGCCAGTGCTGTCCAATGATAGCGCTGATCCGGTGCATGGCCAGGCAGGCTCGGCGCAGCTCTACGTACTATGAGTCAGCTCTATACAAGGTGTGAGATAGTATACTCCTAACCGTACAATACCGTTCATAATGATGAATTGGCTTTTGAGACGTAGTCTTACTGCTGACAACCGTTCAATGGTTCAACCGTCGACTCTGTATCGCGACTGAGTTTGTAGGAGATATGAGGATCAGTGTAGGCGGCCGGCGGCCGCACTTTTATGATGGCGGCCTCATCCGGCCTCCGTATCTGGCAAATTCGAGTCTGGCTCTCGACGGTCGAATCGACTCTCGACGCTGCAACGCGCTCAATGTGCAAACGGGGTGCAAACAATCGGGGAATCGGGAACAATCCGAAGATGCTCAACATTCAAGAGCTACTAGTTGGAACGAATAAGAGAATAACCTGCAATCACTGAGGGCCATTAAGGGCAGTGCATCGTGCCAGGTGCATCAAGCAAACTAAGCAAGCTAGGCGCTGGCAACTAATTATGTGCTGATTATGATATATTAGTATGAGCCCGTGATATTGGCGCAATGGGGGCGCAACTGAAAGCTCAAACGGGGCTCAAAGGGCCGTCGATGCAGTGGCTCATTGCATGTATGGAATACGTACTTCGGCTACTAAGTATGTTTTCCAATACATATTGTCCACTCAGCAATCATTGCATCATGTATAGTTTTGACGCTTTTTATGCATCGATGCACACTGATGTCCCACTCTACCTGTGCTCTACCTTACATTATTACATACCGGCGACGGCGAGGCTATTGAATGCCAGAATGCCGAGCAAGTTATATATTTGATCATGCAGCATAATTGCAGCATAATTATCATGCAATATGAGAATTATTGAGATCTCAACGATTGTAGCCTGATCAAGAAGGTGGCATTCCATCTACATCCCATCATTGGGCTGCCTAGCCTAAGCAGCTAGCCGCGGGGTGTCGGACGATACTGACGATTTGAGTTATACTTGGTTATCTTGAGGGCCTAGCTCTGTAGCTCACTACCTACATCACTAGCTCCGCATTTGTGAAGCATACTGGAGTACCGGCCTCCGCAAATCATGAAGCATACCTCGAGGTTATGCACTTCACAACTTCACACATACCGTAGCTTTCAGGCCAGTGGTGACTTTCCAACTTTCTCCTTGTAACGTGCACACGTCTCCGTCGCGGACTTCCTGCTGAACGCTTGCTGAACGGTTCGGCTTTCGGCTTTGCGCAGCTAGTCTACTAGTCACCAGCTATGGGACTCGGCGCTCAACACAATGGGCCGATGCTCCAATGCATGAATGCTGCAGCACCAGCGGTCTGTTCGCCCTCTCCGCCCTCTGTTCGTCTGTACTCTGTACGTACCTAGTAACGGATCCTGTGCATTGCCAGTTGTCGATGGCCGAGCCTGACTCAGAAGAACCTCAGTGAACTTTTATTCCATGTCTTTAGGAATGGCATCATCATTTGTCTTGCACGTTCAACGGCGACGTGCACGGTACGTTTGCTTTTACTTTACCACCTCTTTATGTGCCAATGTGTGCCACATGGCATTCATGCAACCTGTTTGATGAGCTCCGACTTTTCCACGTGGCCTGATTTTGAAAATTGTTTTCTGCTCAAGAATCGGGTGAAGGCTTCAGCACCGTTGGATAAAGCGAGTCCTTGAAAGATCGTCCCAACTTTGCAGATCTTTTTCCGATTATTCCGGGATCTGTAGTGTCATGGCTTAGCCATGTGATTAATGCAAGCCTCCGATTGGCTCCTAAGCGGGAAGCATAGTAACTGCAGAGGGCTTTGATTGACAACGTTTTTGATTTTGCGCGAGGAATCAAGGCTGAGCAGGCGGCTAGAACAGTGTAGAACTGCCCGGGAGTCCGGACCGGGCGGTGAGCCGAAGCTCCTCCACCAGCCACCTAGCACGACTCACGAGTCACTTGTGGTGGGGGCCGGGACATCAATCATACCGTGACCTGTTCATACCTCGGCAGGTTATACCGTACATCCAGCCCGTGCAGAGTGCACAGAGAAATGTGCACTTGAGTCTTGACTCTTGGGTCTGTACCACGCCGGTACTTTTAGGTACCTAGCCGGCCTTCTACGGCATTTTCTGCCACGTAGTATTGGTATTTGGACTTCGGAGAAAAGACAAAACTGCCCGGGCTCTCGACCTTGGGCCTTGGGGCCTGGGCCCTGGTAGGCTCCAGCCGCCCGAATAACCTACACGGGAAGGCATGCGCGACATGTCGGTAATGGAAACGACGCCCGGTGCATGAGCAAGCTGGGCTGCTTTCTGCGGTTGCATTGCGCGGTCGGGCGAGTGAGGCACAGCCGCGCACTCCAGCAAACCGGGCATAGGGTCCATAAGCTATCCTACGGTACCTACTACCCACCTACCACCTAGGTGCCTATTCCCCACCGCATCAACCGGCCAACTTTACCGGTACTCCGCTTATCGGAGAAAGTACCTACCTCGTACCTACCGCCGACGTCATCGTTTTAAAGATTTGTGCTTTGATAACCAAAGTAGTCAGTCATCTTGCGTGCTTGTTGCACGTTTGACACTCTAAATTGGGTCGGCAGGAGCGATAAATACCCAAAATTTCAACACATTGAACTTGGGGCGAACTACGTTGTGTCAAATCACTTTTTGTCGGAAGAGACTCGGAACCGAGGCGCCATCCAAGCAAGTTGGGTTTCAAATTCGTTATGCTGGGTTTCGATGGTGGAAGGTGCGTACCATTTGTGCCAAGTCCACGTACCGGGCGAACCCATGGTAGGTACCTCGAACCGTACCCGGGTGCAAACCAACTGGGCTGCCCGGGTGACCGTTCCCGACCGGTCGGTAACAGTAGGCGGCGGTTGGAAAAAATGGAAGAGAGGACATCCGGCCGAAAGTCAGTGTGAAGAAGCCCGCATGTCGGAAATTACCCATTAGTAATACCGATTATATCACAGTAAGGGCCGTTTAACATTTCATGAATTAAATTAGGCTCGTCGCGACCCGAGTCTTTTCAATTCTTTTGGCTCCGGAAAAGACATTCATCCTTTCATGAGTGGGTGACCAGATGTGACCAGCTTCTCGTAGGAGCTGGCAACATGGCGGCGAGCTCCAAGAATCAAGATTCGTCATTCAGACTTCCGAAGTTGTGACCCATAGCTTGGCTTCATTCCGCTTGGATGAGCTGGGCGGTGAAAAAGGAAAGCTGGGAGAATCTGGTTGAGAAGCCGTTATGCTTTGCAGAGCTCGGCGTCAAAGTGCGAAGAAGGAACTAGCTCAAGAAAGCTCATGGGAAAAGAGTCAAGTAGGGTCTCTGGAGCATACGGGCAGCTTGCGTTCTGTAGAAGGTCAAAGATGAAGGCGTGTCCCTCCAGGAACAACCCTCTGCTTACAACCCTCCAAGAATAATCCCAAAGTTTCATGGAAGATCTGACTAAGCTGGTTGTTAAAGGTATCACAAGGTTCTCGTCGATACCAGGTGATTCTGGCTGCCGTTGCTGTGAGCAAAGCCTTTGTAGCCCTCAACCTGAGCTCAAACTCGCAGGACGGTGGCACCCTGCTTAGAGGTCAGAGGCATGATGAGCGTTATGGGGCCTGGGACTTGCTCTAGCAAGCCCCTGCAAGCCCTTCCCCCTTCCGCCCTTTCTGATGCACTCTGCAGTACCCTTACAACAGTTTCCCTTGCCACGCTTTCACAGGCCAGCTCAAATGCAGCTGCACCCACCCTAGTCACAGACCCTTCTCAAGCTCGTCCAAACATTGACACCAGCAGAGAGCAGGAGGGGGCAATGGGAGGGTGGTGTCATGAACCGGGCACGGGGTTGGGTGACAACGTGATGTGGTCAGTTGAGGGAGGGAAGGGTGTGATGCTGGAAGGGTTGCGAGGTGACATGTCTGGCGGCCTCTTCAGCTCAGTGCGTTTTCCCGAGCTGTGCCAATCGTGTACGGTGAGTACTACCTTTACACACATCTTTCAAATCCTAGAATGTCCCATCCTTTCGATGAAGGATTTAGTGGAGGGCTAGGGTAGTATGTTGTGTTTCGTGTTGGAAATCCCGGGGGGGTTTCAGCCCGGGGTGAGTCGCTCAAGTTCCGATCTGGGTAGTCCTACTCAACGAGCGTACTTCTAAGCTAGCGATTCTCCGCAGTAGTGGTACCAGGAACCTTCTGTGTCATGTCCCATCACTTTTGGCCCCATTATTTTGTACGATTGCGCTTGAAATGTAAAGACCAGTACCATCTTCTGATGGGGCTGTCAAAGCGAAGGGTTGCTAGCATTCAAATGAGCTCATCTAGCATACTCCGAACTGAGAAACGAGAGCAATTTGCAGATTCTGCAAACTGTTCTTATTCAATGCTTCTCTGCACCCCAATTGCCCCTTGCTTAGACCCACCGGCAGGCCAAGGCTTACAGGGTTTCCCACATGCCTTGTCTATACCATGCTCATGAAGTTGTGGACTAGGCTAGATTGGTATTGACTTCTTGGAGGAGCTGAATGTAGTGTTTGAACTGCATGATGTGAAAAGCAAAAAGCAAAAAGAGAAGCGAGATCTTGGAGGTATTTTGAGAGAACAAATTGAGGACTTACCTGAAGTACTTTTGCTTAATGCTGTGGTTGTAGCCTGCCCTAAGAGGGAGCGCTGGGGATTGGCCAGACTTTTTGGCTGTTGACCTTTCGGTGCTGGTCCTTTCTGTCCGGTTCTTGTTTGTTGTTCTTTTGGAGCTGGTCTTTTTGGAGCTGCTTCTCATTGTATCATAGTGTAGTCCCCCCTTGGTTCAAGTACATGCCAATCGAGGTGGCCAAGCACACCTTTGCTTAAAGCTTTTTAAACACGAATGGCCCCGAACTGCCCCCTTGTCCAATCTTTCGGAGAGCCGTTGGCCCTTTCCCCAGTCAAATGCATAGTACGGTGTTATGCTTTCAGTTGTTTCGGAGTCAACGTCCTTTCAACCCGCTTACAATATCACGTCTAGTTGATGTGTCTCGCACGAAAGAATCTGACCCTTGAGACGGTATTGCAGCTAGAGGCTCGGAGGGCACTGATTCACGAAGGCCAGTCTTTGCGTCAGTGCCTTTTATTTGGAAAAAGTTTCAAGATTTTATGACGCATCAGGCCTGTTTGAAATTGCCAAACCAGGCACTTTCCCCCCTTTTGAATTGCATCATTGGGGGTTCTATCTGCGCAAAACCCATCCTTCTGACATGGTCCCGACCATGGTGCTCCACGTTCTCTTGTCTCTTGTGCTTTGGCCGCTGCAGCCTCTAGTTCGAGACATCCCCGCAAATTTTACTATCTGAATTTATGCAGTGTGAGGACTCCCCTTGGATATGCGTCAGATTTGCAAGCGCACGATTGCCGTGGTCACAGTCAATCACACAGTGTGAATTGGAGTCCCGTCAGTTGTTTGTGGGGCATTTGCTATTTTGGGCAGGGGTTTCAGAAAGTGCAGTTTTCTTGGGTCAGGGCGATCTGTTGTGATGCGAATCTGCGTGTCAGTCAACTTGCCGGTGTCAGATTCAGCTGCCTTCTGCTGCAAGGAACTCATTCTGAGGGGAGCATCTGCGCGGATTGAAACGCCAGGAACGTACGCCAAGCTTCGGCGCAAGGGGGTGGGGAAGGTTCCTGTCCTGCCTAGGGGGTGGGGAAAGGGGAAACACCAATTTTGTGTGTCATTAATTGGGCAAACCAGCCAAAAGCTTTAAAGTGGCAACATCAAGTTTGTGTGTCATTGGGCAAACCAGCCAAAAGCTTTAAAGTGGCAACACACGAATGATAATTCTCTTGCATTTAGAGCTAAATCTGATGCTGAATCTTGCCCGTGCCCCTTCTTTACAGGCACAGGCGCAGGGGAAAAAACAACAGGGGGGGGTCTGCGAGAGTCCGCTCTTCCAAGAGCTACTGAAGTGAGTCCTATCAGCCCTCGTTCTCAATTGCGGTTCTCCAAGTGTCAAGAGCAGTTGGTGCAGAGTTAGACCCAGTCTTTTTCCGGCCCTCCCTCTTTCTGCTTCGGTCGGTTGCAATTAGGTTTGGCGACTTTGCAGGACAGCGAACGTCTCTGATGCAGAGTTGATATGAGTGCGTTGCCAACCTGTTCCTAACCTGGAGCTTCTGATCCCCTTAAAGCCTTAAAACTGGGGCCCTGCTTTTCAAAGGAGAGAGAGGGGGTGGAGCTTAGGAGTGTCACACAAGGGGTGGGGGGTTGTCTCTGCTTTTACAAGAAGCAGTGTTATAATCCTTGTATCACACAATATTTTACCCCCTGCATTATGCATACAGGCTGAGGGGCAAAGGAAACCTTCAAAGTCTTTAAGATTGGAAGGAAGGAGGAGAGTCGCTGGCTGTTATACTTTAACCCGCTGTATGTTAGCAGGCTACCCGCATCTCACACCGACTTCGCTGCAATAGTTTCTTGTTTGGTTTGGTGTATCCCTGGGTTTCCTCCAATCACAGCTTACTCACGTTTACCTAGGCCCAGGACTGAAGATCTGAATAGCACTGCCCCAGCTTTGGTTAGGTTCAGATTTTACGTTTCTTGGGCAGTGCCCCCACCAGCCTGGTGGTTCTTGAACCCCCCTGCAAATCCTTTGTTCTTGTTTGTTCTTGCTAACATACGACAGCGTTCCTGCCTATCCTGATGAGAAGGTCTTCTTTTACTTTACTTTGGAGGGCACGAATTGACGGATCCTTCTGACAAGGGGTAAGGTTCGCTGTCCATGGGTACAGAATTTGCGACCCTTCCTCTCCCAGCACGGTTAACTTACATCCTCCTAACACGCGCTTCTTCTGAACAGGGGATTGGACATAGACACTGCACTCTCCATCGCGTGTGTGAATAGGCCCCCGAGCGAGCGCCGCTTCGGGCTTGAGCTGCTGGCAGTATTGGCCGAGGTGAGACAAAGACTTCCGTTTGTTTTTTTGAGGAAGTCCCTCTGCTTTTGCTTTGGCTTTGCTTTCGTGCGTTGGTTGCTTCATCTCAGCTTACGTCCTTGTTGATTGAAGCCCTGTCTTTAGTAGGACTCTTGTATAAGAGGGTCGAGAGTGTTCGAGAACCAAGATCTTGTCGTTCTTTGACCTTTCATTGTCTCTGTTTCCCTGTGAACAACAATGTCTTGTCTTCCATTTGCGGTTGGTAAGTCTCAGTTGGCTTGTCTAATCTGGAGTCGCGCACCTAAGCCATTACTAGGACTCAACTTGTCATCCTTTGATTCTGGTCATTGCAGTAGCCTGTTGGCTCTGACGACAGAAAGGCGTTGCTCGATTGTGTTACCAGGATTGTGATTTCCTTTCTCAATCACGGATGCAACTATTTCCATGAAAAGCGGATTAGGACTTTTCGAGTCATTGCTTTGGTGCTTGCATGCATGCAACCATGTAGGAACCATAGGAACGCAGCGCTGAGGGCTTCTAAGATTCTAATGCTCTGAGAAGTATCACTATTCAGCATTTCGTATGCTAGTGATTTTCTCTTCCGAAGTTGAGATGAATCCGAAGCAGATGTTGTGGGGCACACCCGGGCAAGGGGGTGTTCTTGTCTCTAGAGCTTTCAATCATTGAAAGTAAGTACTCTGTCCTTGTTTCACTCCCGTCGGTTCTGTGGTCAAGAGGATTTTAGATGTGACAGGGTTTGGTCAAGAGGTTTCGGATGTGACAGGTGACATTGGTGACCCTTTGTTCCGTAACAACACTGGTTATCTTTTGAAAGGTAAGATTGGTGACTCTGTCCTTCAAGTTTGTTCCCATAACAACACTGGTTATCTTTCTTCACTTCTCACAGCTGAGAGCTGTCCCCTTAACGAGTTCTCAACCCAGTCTGGTTATTCTGCGCTCTTGGCTGACTCTTGTCTTTCTTCTCCGCACAGAAGGAAGAGTGGACTCTCAGGGGGCGACCTGAGAATCAGTACCTGGGTTGTCTCCAAACCTACCTCGACCAACAGTTCCTGCAATTGGTAAGGGTCTGCTCAACCCGCTTGGTTAACCCTTGGGTGAATTTTCTAAAATCTCTCGTCTGATCTGGCGCCTGACCAGCAGAGTGGTTTCGCGGAGCTGTCTGTTACTTGGTGCTACTTGAACGCAATTCCTTCTGCTTTGGACAAGAATGTTTCTTTGAGATTGTTCTTCTTCCCTTGACTTGGACAGATCAAAGAAGGAAAAACTTAAGCTTGTGTGGCACTTTTTAATCCATCCCTGAAATCAGAGGTGACGGTGATTGCTCGGCCTAGAGCTGTAAGAGGAATGAAACCTCTTACTTGGGAATCGGTCGCAGCTGCCTGGAGTCTCGAAATTGCGAAGGGTACGAACCAAGTTTGTACAAAGTAGGTTCCCTGAAGCGTAAAGTTTGAGTGCAGGTCAGATGTACTTTTCCAAACACAGTAAATGTGCAAACCTCGTCCTAGGGTAGTGATTGAATAAGAACTTGTTTAGTGCGAAAATCTGCTCCTAGTGATGCTTTGCGTTCCTGAAGCTCAGAATTTGTGAGTGCAGGTTGATGAAGGGAAGGTGGTTGAACGGGTCGACCAATCTGGACGTGCCACCTGGGCATGCTTCTGCACGGGGCTGCTCTCTCAAGAGAGCGGGGAGCTTCTCTACTGCATCGCCAAGGTAAGAAACTGAATTGAGATCATGCTGGAAGATCCTCTCTTGTTAGATTACAAACCTACTGCATTGCTAAGGTTAGAAACTGATTCGAGATCATGCTGTAAGGTCCTCTCTTTTCAGCAAGAAACCGAGTCGAGCTATATTTTTCTGGAGGGTCCTCTCTTGGAAATCTAGAAACGGGGTCGGAAACAGGCTGAAAGGTCCTTTTGGGGTTAAGGAAAGAAACCGATCGACTTGACGCTGGAAGGTCTCGTCTGGTTTGTGCACCAAGACGACATGGGCAGGCGAAGACTCCCTTTGTCTGCAGAAACCCGGTGACAAGAAGGCATGAAAATTCACAATGTCTGACTCAGTCGCTTCTGGTGTGTTCCATCCTCTAAGAGGGCAGTCAGAGAAGTGGTTCAATGCTCGTTCTTAACTTTGCAGCGTGCTGAGGATGGAGCTTCCCCCGCCTGGCTCCTACACGCTTTCGTGACTGCGAGCAAGCTCCAGGACGGCGGCCAGTTATGGAATCAGGGTTGTGACGTCATCCGGGCCCCAAGCAAGGTACGCTCTTTTCCTTGTCACGCTTTTTCCAGGTCTGGGAGGGTTATTTTGTGAACCATCAACGTGTTAAAAAAGCGTTGAGCAGGCTCCAATCAGACATTCTTGAGATTTGAGAAAGTTCATGTTGCTCTGTTGTAAGTGGGAATCTGTGAGAGCCCGCTTTGTATGATCGTTCTCCTTCGGCTGTGTATCCGAGCTGAAGTCATGCTGAATCAAGGTTTGTTCATTGTGCTGTTTCAAACGCTCCCTAATCATTGCCATCTCGTGTTATCATTCGTGCCTCTGCACCTTGTTTGTGACCTCACTTCAAGGCCAGTCTTGTTGTTTGAATGGAATCCTTTTGAAAAGACGTGAGCATCGAGCACCTCTTACTGATGAAGCTGTAGTCCCTACTTACTACGCTACTGGCGCTGACCCAAAATCATCGTCCCTTTGATGTTGCGATGTAGCAACCACGTCCCTGACAACGTCAAGCAGTCACGTCCCTTCAACGATTGCTTCGTTTACAAACCCTTTTTCTTTTGCGCAGGCAACCTTCTTTGCATCAGTATCGGACCTAGTGTTCGACATCAGGAGCTTCTCTGGCGAGGTCGACGCCGATTCCGAGGTGCGTTTACGCTTCTGCAGAGCAGAAAGAACCACGGCTTTTTGCATTTTGGATCTTTGGTTGTTCTGAAGACAGATTTTATCCGTGATGAAAGTTATGAGTGTGCTCGTATGTTGGCAGCTTTGAGTCAGCACAGTCGGTTAAGGGAGCCTAAGGAGAGGTTTCAAAGTATCATTTCTACTTTCAGTCATTGGCAGGACGCCGAGTAGTTGGACGGTGTCTGTCTTCACTGGTCGTTTGTACGGCCAGGCTTATGTGGTACTATTGCCGGGCCTCTTGACGCCTTTCCTTTTCGAAAGATTTCTGAGGCCGGACTTTGAACCGCTTCTTGTCACGCAGTTTTACTGAAGACCTGTGACCATGACTGGAAACGGACTCGTCATCGCCACCTTGGCTCTTGTACATCTGCTCCTGGCTTTCTTTGAGAGGCAGCGAGTTTGTAATTTAGCTTCCCGATGTCAATCGATATCTGCTCGTTGTGTTGACGTGTCGCCAAGCACGTTTCCCAATTCCCAGGTCCGACCGTGACCGTCAGATTCGATTCTCAATCCGACCCCGAGTCGCCTTTCCGTTACCATTGTATCTCCGGCTTTCGCAACCATCGGCTTCCTCTCTGCAGGTTTGGACTTCCCTAGACTCCGTGAGGGCCTGGCTTCCCCGCTCTCTCCAAGACGCCGATTCACACCTCCTTCAGAAGGCCCTGAGTGCAGCTGCCAAGAGGAGTGTGAACAGGGCCCGGGTCGACCCCTTCCAGATGGTGCCGCAGTTTGTGCGGGAGAGAAGCGCCGGCAAGATTCAGGTACACTTTTCGAAGTAACAGTTTTTGTTGATCCTCCTTAGAGCGCTGCTTGAGTGCTTCACTCTAAGAGTCCCCCTCGAATCAGCGTGTCAGATCATTTGCCATGAATGTCTGCGCTTCTCGTTCAAGCTCTCGGATTCCTTCTCGAACCTACCTTGATTCCATTCATTCCGCTGAGTATCTGAAAAGACCCTTTGGCTACTTATGCAAAGTCCCGCTACTTTCGGTGAATCGCGTATAACCTCCTAGGAAACGATGTCTTCCGACCCTGCATCCCAAAATCTGCGTACACTCGCGTTCAATGTGATATCCGTTCCGTTCAGTCTCTCTTCCGTTCTCCTATCCGTTCTCTCTTCTGGGTTCAGTGTTATTTGCGGTCAGTAAGGTGGACAACGTTATCAGTAAATCTCATGTGATGCCAATTTCCATGATTGACAGGCGTTGTTGCCGTTGGAATTGGAGGGCGAGGTCACTGTAGCGCTGGTGTTGGATGTCGAGAGGAGCGATACTAGGTAAGCCAGATGAATGCTTTCCGTTTGCTTGAAATTTAGTCCATTTGCCACTTATAGGCAACAAGGGTTCTTCGATTTGTCACTGATGCCGCCATGCTTCTGTTCCTCATCAAAAGTGCTGCTTAAATGTCTGTCAAAGCATGGAAACCCAGTCGAGGACCTTCAAGCCGGCCGAGAGGGTCAATGGGACCGCTCTTCTACGTATACCATCTTTTGTTAAGACCTCAGTTTTTGTTGCATACGCTTTTGAAAAACGCCACACTTTGAGAGATTGGGGTGAGGGAATCAAAGATGTGGCCAATACGTGCCGGTTTTGGCATACCAGCGGTTCGTTTGTTCGTGGCCTTATTATCCTTCCGTCTCTGTCAAGCTCCTTGTTCCCCAATCGCACAATTCCGCCATCTTTCAACGGGTCATGACCATGGGCATTTGTTCTGTTCTGTCCATCCTCGAGGCGTTTGCTAAGTACTTCAATTCGAAACTCCCTCGGGGCCGAAGGCAAAGCCCACTACGTATTTCCGCCCACTGTCTTCATCGCTATAAATGCTCACCCTAAATGCTCACCCTCTTCCGTCGCCGTTCGACTGACATGGTCTGGCGTCGTAATCACGGTCAAGCCATCTCTGATAAGTCTTGCAACGGATCGAAGGCCGAAGACCATCGGCTTTATCCGCCGTTTGCAGTGTTTCGGCACGTCCACGTCCTCCGTTTCTTACACATTGCCTGTCCGTCAGGCGCAAACCCTCTCTTAAACCCATCCGTTTCTTCCGCCGTTTGGATTGCCCCGGCGCTCATCCGTTTTCTTCCAAAATTTGTGTCCACGTGTCTCCAATCGTCTGTCCTCCCAATCCAACTCAATTGCAAACCCTTTCATAAACCCACCCGTTTTGTCGGTTCCATTTGCAGTGCAACAATGCTTAAGCCCCGACAGCTGGCGCCGCTCCCCTCCGCGTACTCTGCCGCCCGCGTTCTCACCCCCCAGCACCAGCCATGGATCCTCCGTGCCTGCCTCGGTTCGTCTCCCCCGGGCACAAACGCCTGGCCTTTGTCCCCCCCGGAGCAGTACTCCGGGCACTCAACTATTTCCGGGGGCAACCGACATCTCGCCTCCGGGGATCCCCGCTTCGCAGACAACGCCGTGGCATCCCCCCCGAAGCTGATCCCGACGCTGTCCGGGCTCCACATTGACCCCCCCGACCTCGTAAACCCGCCGAATCCCGAGGACGGGGAGAAGGGCCAGTCGCATCCGGGTAGTCGGGGGAGCAGCGACGCCTGGATCACGGGTAGTCTCGGGCAGGGGGGGCCGTTTAACACCACCATGTTTGGTTCGGGGCCGAGCAGTGAGTCGGGGCAATGCCTCTCGCCTCTGCGCCGCTCGCCCCCCTTGGACGAGCACAGGGCGTATTCCCACCCGGAGGATCCTCGGGCGTATTCCCACCAGGAGGCGCGGGCGGAACAGATGTACCGCGAGATGGCCCCGCGGTTCGAGGAGAACCGACCCCGCAGCGGTGTGAATATCCCCCAAGAGCCGCAGGTCTCCAGCGCGGCACTAGCGGCAGCCTCGTTCTCGAGCGGGTTTTCGGGGGGATCCCTCGCAAGTTTGAAGGCGTCGGGGTCCGATTCCGGGTTGGACGTTCCCGGACGCGCCGAGGAGCTCAGCTTCATGCGAATGTACGGAGGATTCCGGGACGAAAGCGCGATGCGTGAGGCTTTGAATGCGGCTCGCGAGGGCGCTAACGTTGCCCGCGACGTCACAAACGTGTCCCGGGACGGTGTGAACGGCCCCCGCGAGGGTGTGAACATGCCCCGCGACGTTGTGAGCGTGCCCCGGGACAGTGTGAGCGCGCTCCGCGAAGCCCAGCTCAGCAACGGCGGTCATTTGATGAACGCGTTTTCGAGGGCTCCGGACGGGTGGATCGCGAAACAGGACGAGGGTGCGCGGCTAAGCCTGGCGTTCGAGCAAGAGCGGCGGAGCGAGTTGGACAGGGACTCTGCGCAGCATTTGGAGGTGAGGTGTTCTCTTTCTTTATTACGCCCCCCGAAAGTACTCTGAAACGACTTTAAAAACTGCTTATGCGAAGTACATGCAATTTCTCTGGTTATTTTTGTTGAGTTCAGAAGTTTAGAGGACGGATGGAGACTTTGTGAGAGAGCCTCCCAAAAGCAGCAGAATACTGCGTCAAGTGGAGTGGGGGCAGAATCGCAGGTTGAATGCTTGCTGCATGTCTTTTCCTTGTTCCGGAAAGAACCAAGGGTCTGTTCTGCTTTCTTGAGCAAACAGCCATCTCTTGATGCTGTGTTATCTGATTTTCGAGGATGCTTTTGGGGGTCTGTCCTCGCAGCCCACGACCCCTTCCTTATCAATTGCAACCTCGTACAACTTCTCAACGGGCGAAAAGTAGAATCCATCGCTTCACTGGTCTTGCTAAGAGCAATTTTGTTTGTGCGCAGTTTTACTGCACCCAGCAGTTGGCTCTACCGGGCAAGCCCCCCGCGCGCCTTGCAGAATGCGACCCCTTCCGCCTTGATTGCCACCTCGTTCGACACTTTGACGTTACGGATATTGATTTCATCACTCCATTGTCTTGCTAAAACAATGCGTCTCTTGGCTGCAGTTCTACCGGTCTCAGCAGCTGGCCCTACCGGTCAAGCCCCCCGCCCGCCTGGCAGCCCACGACCCTTGGGCTCGCGATTACGCAGGGTTCTCCCCCGAGGCGCTGGAACACCGCTCGGAGAAGGACGACTCCATCTTCGTCGAATTTTCGCCGCAGGACGACCTGTGCCCGAAAGTGAACATCAGCCAGTTGCCGGCGAAGTTTGTCGCGACGTTCCTGTCGGGGGATCCGAATCGGCCCGGATTCGAGTAGTGAGTCACCTGCTCAAATGTTCCCAGTGACGTCAACCGGCCAGGATTATAGGGTTGACTCTTTTCGGATATTCTTGGCTTTGTTCGGGATCCGAACCGGCCAGGATTCGAGTAGTGAGTTACCTTTGCAAAACTTTCCAGGGGAGTGAATTCGCCAGGTAGTGAATTCGCCAGGATCATAGTGTTGAATTGCTTGATCAATGTGTTTGTCTTATTGGACGATTTGAACCGGCCAGAATCTGTTTAGTGATTCACCTGTCTTGAACAGTACGCAGAACAGCTCTGCACTTCCTCCGGTGCTGTTTCTGGGGCAAATTCAAAAGGGCAATCTGAAACTGGCGACGAAGATATTCGAGGAAGAAGTCAAGGGTGTACTCTTATCAACACGTATTATTCCCTTGCAGCAATGCCGAACAGTACGCAGACAGCTCTTCTCGCGCTTTGGCGCTGCTTCCAGGGCAAATCCAAAAGGGAGATTCAGTACTGGCGACGAAGACCCTCGAGGCAGAAACCTCCACAACACCTTTAACTACCTTGAAAGCCCGAAATCCTGGTCCTTTCACTTGTAACCCTATTGGCACTTTTCCCCTTTGCAGCAACGCGGAACAGTACGCAGAACAGCTCTTCTCCCGCTACGGCGCTGTTTCCAAGACGCTCGTCCGCGAGAACAAGAACCACCCCGGCAAGTGGTTCGCGATCGTGGAGTTTAGCTACTGGACCAACGAGGAGGTGCGTCAGAGGCTGGTGGCTGGAGAGCAGATTCGGTTCGCCAACTTCTTCGGTGAGCTTTCCCCTTTTCTTCTTAGTTCTCCATTTCTCATAATCCGGTTATCAACAGCCGAACAAGTGCGTCAATGCTGGTGGCCAGAGAGCAGATGGTTAGCCTACTTTTCTGGTAACCTTCTTTGCTCACCGTATTCCTTTCTCCTCCGTTCTGCTCGCTTCTTCCCTCTCGGAGCAGACTGAGTTTCCCTTCGTTTTTCTTCCCTTCTTTTCTCGGTCTGCTAGCTTTTCTCGTTGCTCGTTGACCAAATTTGAAAGTGCGCCAGAGGCTGGTGGCTGGAGATCGAGCAGATTCGTTTCGCCAACTTCTTTGGTCAGTTCCTTTCCCACGGTTCCCGTTTTCATTTCCTCTGTTCTGCTCGCTTCTGTTATCTCAGAACAGATCGAGTTTCCTCCGTTTTCCTTCCCTTCTTTTTCGATCTGCTCGTTTTTCTCGTTGGTTGCTCGTCAACCAAAAAAAGAAGTGCGCAAAGGCTGGTGGACGGAAAGCAGATTCGTTTTGCCCACTTGTTGGATAAGGTTGCCCTTCTTTGTTATCCTCTTGTTTTTCTCCGTTTCGCTAGCTTCTCCATGGCTCGATCGATAGTGTCCAGTTCGCCTTCTGTGTGTTGCGTCAGTTATGCGGCCCTGCCTCCTTTGATCGCTTTATGGCAATTGCGAAACAGTCGCGAGACGACAGTGATACCGAGACACGAAGAAGTGCAATGGACACCGTTTTAGGGCTTCTTTTTTCGTTTCTGCCTCGAGCTTTCGTGCGCTTCGTTTTCATTGCTGTCCATTCTTCTTTTCTCTGAACCGTCCGATTTCCTGCAGACGGCGAGGACGTCTACGTGCGCCGCCACAAGGACAAGCAGAGCAAGATGCTGCGCAGCGGTTCGGGGCCTTCCTCCGGCCTCCCGTGCCGCCCCGACTGGAAATACACCGGGACCGACACGCGCCTCGGGAAACCCCTGTACCGTGGCCCGTGTTCGATGTGCGGTCGTGAGAGTACTGTTCCGTTCAAACCGGTCATCAACGGGCAGCCCCCCCGGTGCCGCACGTGCCTCCCTCAAGATGGGAATTTCGCCGCTGCGGGGGGGTACACGCCCCAAGCGATGCCACCCCCCCGGTACGAGGAGCCGCGCGACGGGGGGCTGATGTCGCTGCGCAAGGAGACGCTGAGGACGCTCAGCGGGAACCGCGTCAGCAGCGAGGTGTTTCTCTCCGGGGGGGCGGAGTCCGGGCGCAGCGGACCCCCCCACTACGGGATGGACCACCAGGGGTTCAGCGACCTCGCGCGCGCGCAGAGCTTCGCGGGGGGTGACGTCAGCAGGGCCGTCGCTGACGCCAGCAGGGGCCACAGCAACGTCAGCAAGTTTGCCCGCGAGTACGGCAGCTCCGTGACGGGAATGGGTGCCCCCCCCACAACAGGGGGAGTACCGCCGCACCACTAGCCTCGGCAGTGCGGACTGGAGTTTCTCGCATCCGGGCGAGAGGGACGGTTTCATTTCGGGGGGGTCGTCTGGCGGCTTCTCGGGTGGGGCGGCGGCGGAGACCATGGCGAAGCGGTTTGAAGCCGGGTGGGGCGCGGAGGAGCGCCGTGGGGGGTTCCAGAACCCCTCGTCGATGGGGGGGGGTTTCCGGGGGTGGGGTGATGTCTGCTAACGGGGTTGGAGGGAAGTATGGGGGGTCTTTACCAGCAGGGTTACCTGGACTAGGGTCGACAGTTGACCCGCCGTTGTGAGGCGGGTTGAGGGGCTGGGTTTGGGGAGGTTATTGTCAGATGACGAGGTGTCAATGCTCTTGTGCATTAAGGACTATTGTTGACGAAAGATTGTGTACATTGAATGTTTGTGCTCAAAAAGAAGTGTTGTAGTGAAGCTTCGATGTTCGGGGAAGGGGAGCGGTAGTGGGGTCGAACGGTTGTTGCGTTGACGACTATTCTGGACTCTGCTCGGAAACCGGGAAAACGGTGGCCGGAGGGGAAAAGAGGTTTGGGAGAGGAGGGTGTTCTGGTTAGAGCTGACCGAAAAGTCGGTGAGAGCGGTAGGTTGACGAGTGGTGAACAAAACGGCGGGTGTTTTGGACGCGTGGCTGGAGAGTTGCACGGAGAGCGGAAGAAGGACTGGCGTAACGAGATCGTGCTGCGGCTACTGTCGGTCACTGAAACTGGAACCGAGATCGGTGGGTGTTGGCACGGGGCAGTCAAGAAGGGCTTCCCGTGTCATGAGGTGTTGATCAGTCGGCGTCGCTTCCCTTGTAATTGATACATAGTGTGCAGACGCGCATCGCAAGCAACGGGCCAATACGCATAGTGCAGACGCGTGCAAAGAGTATGGTACGACTGAGGTTTTTACTGGGGCCGACGTGACGCAGTGCATGGGGGCGGATGGCGCAAGCTCAAGGGGCGGTGTTTCGGGGGTGCCACGTGGCTCGTTGTGGGGTTAACATGTGGGGTTAGGAGGTTTACGAAGATTTTCTGTGCGTCTTGCGAGAAGTTAGGTGCAAGGCCGCGAGTCTAAGCATTGTTGGAGCATTCAGCGGTGGTTGTGTATCTGATAGGTGGGTTCTTACTATTTTGACATTTTACATGGTGACTCAACTCAGCATGGGAAGAATCCACCTCCACTTGACCTTGGTTGGTGTTGCTCTGTTGTTGTTGCGTTAAGATTAGCACTAGCGTTTTTTGCAATCTTATTTTGGACAGGGGTACTAGCAGCCGCATTTCGGGTTTACTACCTCAATAGACAGTGCAAAGAAGCGCAAGCACCTACGAAATAGGCAAAGGCAATTCCAAGTTGTCATTGCACTGTTAGAGATCACGTACAAGCCTGAGCATGCGTTGTATTTGCAGCGACTTTCGAGTTCCGGTTGTAAGATCGCTGGGTAGGGGGAATAAATCGATTGACATTAAGACAATCATTGTTTTAGTTGCTAGCTAGGTTTTCTGGTACGTTAGGGATTGCATTCATAAGTTGACAATTATTTACGGTTTCCTTATAATCATATCCTTGTCCGGTGTCCGACTCTGGTCCAATCGATTGCTCAGCCCGCTCATCAAGCTCAACCGGCGTCGATCAATTTATCGTATAAGTTGCTTGATTGAACGAAGAAAGCTGAATGGTCGGAATCAGCTAGCTACTGAGTGACTCTGGGATCGCAGGCTGTGCATGATTTCTTTGAATCACTGAGTGCACTAACTTAATCATTTGGCTCGTCGGAGTCCTTGGAGAGCTTACTTTAACTAGCAGGTCGGCCGATGATGGTCTCTTCTCGACAATTAATACGCCGTATAGCCGAGTAGGCGGCCTGCCACACTCGCCACTGGGGCTTCTCATGCATATAACGATGGTATACCTCCATTGGAATGGTTTACGCATGATAGCCACTCGAACCTTCGAGGAGTCCGACCGTTGCATGCGCATGCGCTTCCATTAAAAACATCGGTGAGTCCGGCCGGGTCATGGGCCGTGCATGCAGGCCGCCCCGTCATGGCTGCCACGTATACTCCTAGTGCCAGCACGCCAGCGCGCGCAGGCGCCGGCCCAGCTAGGCTGCGGCATCGTGTCAATATACTTTTGCAGTGGTGCACCGAACTCCGGTTTAAAAACCGGCAATTCCAGGGGGTCCAACTGAAGGCCCATAAGCATCTAAAACCGCGCGACCTCCAGGGGGGGGGGCTCTCTAGTCGATCGAGTTTTGACCCCTAGTAGTACAACATCGGCACCGACCGCTTCCCCCCCCTCTACCTTTGCTCTGGCTTGCAAAACGCTTTAATCAGGTTTTACTGTAACTCAGCTGTTATTAGAACCACTCAGATTATTAGAACCATGTGCCCTTCAAGAACTAGACACATACGTATAGCCCTAAAACCTTCAAAAAACAGCTCGTATGTCCGCGTTTGTTTTTCTCTCCGTAGACACGGGATCCTTGTTGGGGGTCTACGTTGCCGGGAAAAACGACCCCATGGAAACGTCGCTCTTCTTGAAACAGCCCCCCTCCAACAACTGCAACGCCTTGAACCAACTTCCATAACCCCGCCCCAGAAGTGAAGTTGGAGAGGGAAAAGCAGAACCGGCTTCCATACCCTCTCGGGCAAATTCGGGTTTTACTCAAAACCGGCTTCTATGCCCCCCTCGACTTCGAAAAAGCGGAGTTCAGTGCACCGCTATAAAGGTGTTTTTATGTTTTGACACGATGCCAGCTGACGGTCGGAGCGTGGCACAAATGATGCATGCCGGGGCGCGCGGCACCATGAGCTATATGCAGTTCTGTATTCATGAAGATTAGCTCCTCTGTACCGATCGCAGATAGAGGCGCCGCGAGAATTATGGTTCCAAGTTCTTAGTATGATTGCGGGACAGTTGATTGTACTATGTTTTCACAAGCAGAGGGTCTGTTCATGCACTTCACATTGCATGCTTGATTTTAGTCCTAGTGTTGATGTTCTTCGATAAAATGAACCTGGCGTATGGTCCATGTGATCCGAATGATCAGGCCTAAGTTGCTTCTGCGGTCGCCTTGTCTGGCCTTGTCAGGAAGCGCGCGGCCCGGCCGGCGGCGGGACACAGCGTGGCACGTGGAAGGTACATGTGCACTGTGCACCGCTGTGTGGGCCGCCGGCCCGCCCCGGCCGGCTCAGAATTCTTCCTGACACCTTTAATTCCCAACTCTCTAGCTGCAGCCTGTGCACTGTGCACGATCGAGCCATAAATCAATACCTCTGGCAGTGCACCAATGATATATTCACTCTTGCACGTGCACTGCAGTCCGCAAGACTTGGGACGCGGACGCGCCATGGCCGGTTGCCACGGGGCCACTTTATGGCCGCATCTACGTCCGACCCAACCAAGTATTTTGATGATTGGATTGTCTATTTGATCCAGCAAGCTTTAATGGCGGGCCGCGGGCCAATATGTCCAATTATATGTCCGACTCATAAATTTGATGCGACTGAATAATAAATTTGTTTTGGCGATGCCAATGATCTACTATCCATATATCCGCTGATGTCGATCAGTGTGCAATCATATTAAAGCCTGTACGTGATCTAGTCTGAGATCACTGGACAGCCTGTAGTCCAGTGATCCCAGGAAAGGCGAGACGTGCCCGGGTCGGCCGGGTCCGTGCACTTCACCGACGGATTTTCCGGCAGCTAGGCAAATCTGACCGGAAATGTGGCCGCTAGCAAACGTTATGCTGCTCGAAAAGGGCTCGAAATGGTTCAATTTAATTTCAGATGTGGGCCAATTAAAATAACCTCGAGCCGCCTTGGAGAATCGATTCAATGTCCAAACTTCAAAATCAACCTAGATATAAGTTGATTGCGTACCAATTTGTGTCCATTTTGACCACAGTCGCTTGAAGTCCTGCCTTCCTAACGTTCAATTTGACTTTGAGAGTGCTCCTCCACTTTCCATGCACCTCCTAATGATTGCCTAAATCCCACTCCGTCCTGTGTATGATATATCAGTACAGTTTTGTCTGTCCTAGTTTTAACAAGCGTTTGTAATAAAGTACACCTAATGAATGATGCAGATTCTACGTTAGTCTGCAAAAGTTTTGACGGCATGCAACCTTTTCCGCGGTATCGTCTACTTATTACCTGCTCAGAACCTTACGAGCAGGTACGACCAACCTTCCCCAAGACCAGAGGATCTGCCGCACTTACGAAAAGGTTTCAAATATAACCTGATTACCTGTTAGCCAACCAGGATGATGGTCAGCTGGCGTCAGCTGGAGGGATCCCTGGGCACGGCGTTCAACTCGTCCACCCTGCTTTTGGTGCCGCGTTGCCTTCTAGCTGCGCTAATCATTGTGCGCCACAGTATTAGCCCACCACTCTCATTAAGTGTTTCCTCGTTCAAGTGATTCCTCGCTTAACTAACTCCTCGGTTAACTCCTCGGTCAATTCCTCGTATTCTCCTGAAGGAGCGCGGTTATCACGTTCTGAGCAAACGTGCGGACATCCATGCGTCTTTTTCTAGCCCCGCAACTGTGCGCCGTCTTGTCCGAGCCCACCCACTCTAATTTCTCGGCTCTCCTTTTTCCCGAAGGATCGCCGTAACGTTCTGAACAAACGAGCGAGCATCTATGGGTTTCGTAAGGTACAAATCCACCCCCGCCTCTTCGGAGGCCCGGGGGTCTTCCCCGGGCGTGGCGCTGGCTGTGAGCATCACGACCGGGGTGTGCTCCCGAGAGGCCGCCTCTAGTTCGCGGAGGCGGCGCGTCACTTCGAGACCACTCATCACGGGCATCTGTAGAATCGGAGCAAACTGCTTAGGGTGCGCCTCGACCGAAAAGCTGCAAAACGCTTTCCAGGTTTTTCAGCCAATCGGATCGATGGCTTTTCAGATCCACGTGGTAACCCAAGTTACATACCACAGGAGTAATAAGCCTTGAAAAGTATCGTACCTCCTACTTGTCGGTCCTACAAAGGCAACACTGGAGGCCAAGTAGGTTTTCGGTCGACGCGCAACCTTACTGATTATCTTCTGGTCGATTGTCGGCCTTCTTCCAGACAATCAGATTTGGCAACGCTGATCCAAGACTGGCTTCCGCAATCCGACCAAGCAGAGCAGCCACTTTCGCCTGTGAGAGCGGCAACGTATCTGAACGGCAATTGGCGAATCGAAAGGAGCCCTCTCTTGTTGCAGCACAGCACGGCTGCCAAGTAGAGCCTCCTGCCGTTTTGAGGAGCGCTTTGGCTGCGACTCTCGCACTCAGATCGCCAGGATACAACCCGACAGTTTCTCTTGGTCGACTCTACAAACCCTTTCTGTGATCCAATCAGCGCTTCTGTTCCCTCGCACCATGACGGGAGGATTCGTAGAAAGGCATAAGGATCACAGGCTTGCCCAACGAAGAAGCTGATCGAATGCGTTGATCCCAAACCTCCGGTTCAAAAAAGGAAACGAAGACGCTGATCAAAGCTGTCTATCTACCGCGTGAACAAGAGGGGAGTATGGCCGCTAAGACCAACAGGAATGTTTTGAATGAATTCCTACCTGGATGAAGTAAGACCGGGTTAACAATCATGACCAGACGTTTAACCGAACCCTTTAACCGAGAGTTCCGTGCGCCCCGGCGACATAAGACTTTCAAAACTTATTGTGAATTCAAGAACGAAGCTAACACTTTAACCATCACCGTGTTTGTAGCTCTTACGGTTCCAGTCACGTCCAATGTGTATGAGGGGCTCGTGTTGTTGATACCGATCTGCCCATTTAACCATAAACCCAAATAATCACCCGCTCCGCACCCGTACCCACTTTAACCACCCATAATAACCCTACCTGTCCCAGTTACTATAAGTTGAGCTTTCTATACCTATTTTAGAGAACGAAAGTTTACCTGGCAGTCGAGCAAAATGAAATCAAACATCTGGCTCGTCGACTCGCGCCGTCGCACGATCGCTTCCATCGCCTCGCCGCCGTCACTCGCCGTCACAACCTGCGCCCCGAGCTCCGTCACCTTATCTTGTGATTTACAATCTGGCCGTACGCAGGTCATCAGATGGAGTTTGCGGACTTGCATACCGCAAAAGCGGGGCAATGAAACGGGTGGTTTTGAGACGGTTCGAAGCTGGACAACTTCCGCTAACTGATATGCCGGGGATCAATGAGTCGTTCCCCCTCGGAGGGAGTTTGTTTAAGATCGATTAGTGATTGGGTGTATAGACTCTCAAGCCTTTTTGAACATGCAGATCCGAGAGGGTGTCGATGTGGCCGCGGAGAATCTTTTTGTCAGAAGTAGAGAAGATTATGAGGATAACTTTGGCTTCTCCAAGACTTCGCTTCAACGGAAAAAGTGACAGAGGGAATGCTAAACGGCATCCGTCGTCGAAGTGAGGTTGTTGCTGCGAATGGATGTGCAGGGAAGGAGATAGAGGCGCTAACCTGAGAAGAAAGAAGATTGGGTGAAAAGAAGGAAAGCGCTAAAAACTGAAAACCTGTTTCGATAAGCATGATTGTTCAATTCTTTCTCATTTCAGTACTGAGAGATGTGAGCAGGGAATACCTGCGCCCCGAGCCTCGTCACAGTTTTTGCGGCGACCATTTGCAAAACCGGGTTGTCCTCGGCGACCAAAACAACCATCCCCCGCAGCGGCTGGTCGCCCATCTCAGCCACGATGCAATCATTGTTTGCCACGTGGCACTCCTCCCGATCCCAGCCCATCTCCAAAGGCGCGCTCTGTGTCCGCATTAGAGTACCGCCGCCGTCCCCATAACCCGACCGGTAATTACCGACCTGTTCGGATAACCGGGGGGTGGGCCGGGTGAGAGGGGCTTTGCCTTTCCCCTCCTCCTTTCGGCTCCCCTGCAGAATTTTGAACGCTTTGAATGTATGCGACCGAAAGCATACCATGTCGCAAGGAACTAAAACATCGTTCGTAGGTGTATGCAGCACCGCTGCACCGGTGATTTGGCCGCTGAGATTGCGGCTGTTTTGCCTGGCAGTCTTTTGTAGTTGTATGATAGCGCCTTTTCCACGCCCATTGAATTTGTAGACAAACACGAAATTCATTTCAAGATGGAACAATCACAAACCCGAAACAGACGCAGGAAGCGAGGAAAGATGCTCGGAGCACTTGAGACTCGATGGCAGCTTTGTCGAGAAGAGTTGTACATATGGTGACATCCCTCACCGGGCAGTTTTTGCAGCCAGCGCATGGCAGGTCCTCGTCGCGCGCCCCGGCCAGGGTGTGCAGAAGCCGGTGGAGCTTCGACTCGTACAGCGGTTTGTTGACGATGGTCGGGAAACCCGTGCGCTTAAGCGCGGCGCGCAGCGCGGCCGGCGTGGTGGTCGGGACGACCCACGCGACAGCGACGCCGCGCGGGCCGTCGATAAGATCACGCGACTCGCCTGCGCCAAAAAAACATGAGTTTACTATGGTTGTTATCAATGTGTAATATTGAGTATTTGGGTTATTTTGAGGGTTTGTTTGACCCACGCGGCGCGCAGCGCGGCGGGCGTGGTACGTGGTCGGGACGACCCACGCGAGTGACCGCGACGCCGCGCGTGCCGTCGATCAGATCGCGGGAGTCGCCTGCGTCAAGAACCGGGTTTAGTATGGGTCAATGTTTTGACGTTGTTGTTCAATAGTAGTAGACGTTTTTGGGTTTTTATGGGTTTCGCCCACGCGACCGCGACGCCGCGCGGGCCGTCAGTCAGCTTGCGCGAGACGCCTGCGCCAAAAAACGGGAAGTTAGGAATCGGGTTGGGGGTTTCGAACCACTCCGAACCAAAGTTTGTGCCCCGAGTATTTTGAAACCAAGTCTAGATCTGCTGCGAAGCCAGGAAATACTGAAGTATGAAGATCATGCTACAGCTCATT